TTTTTACCAAAGAGTCGAGACAATTTAATAAGTAAAGTATTTTCCAAAAGCACAAAAATAATGAAGCTAAATCCCATAAAAGAGAGGAAAAAATGTTGAATTTTAAGAAATTCGGATTTTTGAACTTTTGATAATTTTCGATAATTTTAGATTTTTTACCAAAGAGTCGAGACAATTTAATAAGTAAAGTATTTTCCAAAAGCACAAAAATAATGAAGCTAAATCCCATAAAAGAGAGGAAAAAATGTTGAATTTTAAGAAATTCGGATTTTTGAATTTTTTCGAATTTTTGATAATTTTAGATTTTTTACCAAAGAGTCAAGATTATTTAATAAGTAAAGTATTTTCCAAAAGCACAAAAATAATGAAGCTAAATCCCATAAAAGAGAGGAAAAAATGTTGAATTTTAAGAAATTCGGATTTTTGAATTTTTTCGAATTTTTGATAATTTTAGATTTTTTACCAAAGAGTCAAGATTATTTAATAAGTAAAGTATTTTCCAAAAGCACAAAAATAATGAAGCTAAATCCCATAAAAGAGAGGAAAAAATGTTGAATTTTAAGAAATTCGGATTTTTGAATTTTTTCGAATTTTTGATAATTTTAGATTTTTTACCAATGAGTCGAGACAATGTGATAAGTAAAGTATTTTCCAAAAGCACAAAAATAATGAAGCTAAATCCCATAAAAGAGAGGAAAAAATTTTGAATTTTAAGAAATTCGGATTTTTGAACTTTTTATAATTTTCGATAATTTTAGATTTTTTACCAAAGAGTCGAGACAATTTAATAAGTAAAGTATTTTCCAAAAGCACAAAAATAATGAAGCTAAATCCCATAAAAGAGAGGAAAAAATGTTGAATTTTAAGAAATTCGGATTTTTGAACTTTTGATAATTTTCGATAATTTTAGATTTTTTACCAAAGAGTCGAGACAATTTAATAAGTAAAGTATTTTCCACATTAAAAAGTTTGACATTAAAAAATATATAAAAAATGCCAATACTTAACCCACAAAATTTAATTTTCAAAACAAACAAATGAATGCAGATAATTTGCTAACGGAAAGGAAACTTACGATTATTATAATGTATTTTTTTTAATAAATTTCTTCGATCCAATTCAATTATTTTTCATTTTTTAATGAAATTTCTCAAAAAGATTCTAATATATTCAGAGAATTGAAAAAAAAGTTCTGAGAAATTCAATTATTTCGAAAAATTTAATTAAAATTTTTTTCAAAATTCTATTTTATTTAAAAAAATTTTGGCAAAATTCTTGACAAGATTTATTTAATAAAATTTTGAATACAATTCTTCGATTAAAAATTTAATTATTTTCACGAATAATTAATTTTTTTATGGGAATTGAATTATTTTAAAAAATTTGAATAAAATTCTTCGTCAGATTTCAATTATTTTTAATTTTTTTAATGAATTTTCTCGATGGGATTTAATTTCTTTTGAAAAAGTTTTAAAAAATTCTGAGAAATTCAATTACCTATTATTTAAAAAAAATTTGAATATAATTCTTCACAAGAAATTAATTATTTTCACAAATAAAATTCTTCACAGGAATTCAATTCTTTAAAAAAAATTATAATATAATTCGCTGCAAGAATTCAATTATAAATAACAAAATCTTATAGCAGAATTTCAAATATTTTTTATACAATTTTAAATAAAATGATAGAAAATTGCATTTATTATTATAATTTCTTTTTAAATTCGCCGAAAGAATTCAATTATTTTGAAATATTTAAATAAAATTTTTTAAAAAATTCTTTACAAGATTTAGTTAATTTAATTTTCAATACAATTCTTTTTAAAAATTCAATTATTTCCACGAATAATAGAGATTTTTATGGGAATTAAATTATTCAAAAAAAAATTTAATACAATTCTTCGCAAGAAATTAATTATTTTCATAAATAAACAAATTTTTCTCGAGAATTCAATTATTTAAAAAATTTTTAATAAAATGCTTTATAAATTTCAAAAATTATAAAAAATTGATCATAACACAAAATTATTGTCAAATTGTTTGAAAAAATCTTCGAAACAATTATTTAAGAAATTTTAATAAAATAAGAATTCAATCCTTTTCAAACAATAAACATTTTGTTCAGGAATTCAATTTTTTTAAAAAAATTTAATAAAATTCTTTGTCAGATTTCGATTATTTTTAATTTTTCAATGAATTTTCTCGATGGGATTTAATTTTTTTTTGAAAAAGTTTTAAACAATTCTGAGAAATTCAATTATTATTTTTTAAAAATTTGAATAAAATTCTTGGCGAGAAATCAATTATTTTCATAAATAATAATATTTTTCTCCGGAATTCAATTATTTTCACAAATAATATTCTTCACAGGAATACAATTCTTTAAAAAATTTTTTAATAAAATTCGTTGCAAGAATTTAATTATTTTCATAAATAACAAAAGCTTACCTCAGAATTTAAATTATTTTTTATACAATTTTAAATAAAATTATAGAAAATTGGATTTATTTTAAAATTTTTTTTTAATTCGCCGAAAAAGTAAATTATTTTTAAAAAATTTGATAAAATTCTTCATAATATTCAATTATTTATTAAATTATTTATTTTTGTATTTAAATAATTGAATTCTCGAAAAATTTCCTAATAAAAATTGATTAAATAATGAATTTTACTTAAAATTTAAAACTATAATTTGAATATTAATTACCGAGTAATGAAATTTTCCTTCTTTTAACAGTTTAATAAAAAAAAATTGATAGTTCCAAAGCATATTTAACAATAATAGTAATATTTCACAATAATTGACATTCTATAACTGACAAAGTTTGTATAAAAAACACTTTCTAAAGATAATTTTTATTATCAAAATTAATCCTCGAATAATGGAGATTTTATTTTCATAAAACTTTATTTGCTGATCCTAATTATAATATAGTGGAACAAAGCATTTACCGAGAATAAACAGACTTAAATAGAGCTATACACTTATGTCTATATTTTCTTTAAATGCTTTGTCATTCCACTTGCAATTAGAAACTACTTCTGCCACTAATTGTGTCCAAAGATAAACTTTCTTTTGTAACGAAAGAAATTAGGAAATATTTTTTTTAGTAAAAAAGGGTTTTCATTTTCTTTTTAAACGAAAGACATTTTTTTGTAATTTCTATATGAAGTTTTAAATAAGAACCTATCTTTAAGTATTTCGTATTTTAAGTTTGCGTGATTAAATAGACTAACAATAAGTACAATTCACTTTTCAATAGACTGAAAGCATTTTTCTCTAAAGGAAATGCAATGTTTATTTTCGTTCCAGTAAAATATAGCACTAAATGTTGATTTTATGTTCTCCATTTATATTTATGCATAAATTCTGACAGTGCCTTTAGTATATGCGCTGAAGCGAAATTATTTCGCTCCAAAAATAATATTTTGTCGTAAATTTTTTTTTCTAACGTATGTTAAAAACTGTAATTTGAGTTTAATATTTTTTTCTATTACTTGAAGACTTTTGTAAATTATTTTTAATGAACTTGGGACTAATTTTGACTCAACGGAAAAAAATGTTGAACCTTTTACTATTTACAAAGTAAATTCCGAACTTTCTGATGGAATTTCGACGCTTTGCAACTTTTAATGTTTTAGAAGTCAACTGTTTTCTATAAATTAAATTAATTTTTGTTTTATAAAAAATCAAATTCATTTGTTGATAATCATCGGATTTTTATCCTACAGAGTTTCTTAGAATCATCAATTATATTCAGAATTACATAAAAAAAAAAAAATAACAAACTGACTCATTCCGACAAGTTTTCTTTATTGTAGAATATTGACAAGTTTTGTTCTTTATTTTTAGAGGAAAATTATTCCGAAGACTGGAAATTATTAATATCACGAACGATATTCTTAAATTCTGAATTGTACTCGAAGATATAAATAACTTGATGATTTTGAAAGTTCTTTGGAAAATTAAATAGATTTTGAAGATTGTTTCTTAAAAAGACAAGGAAGTTTTCTATAATATTTAAAAATTAAATAATCAGCTAAACGCTGACGTAATATTTTGAAGCTACGTCATCAATAAACGTGACATAATTCTCTTCTATGATCAGCATAATTTTTGTCTATTTTCAATAAGTGTATTTTCAATATATATTTTTTCATTATGCTAATAATGTGAATATTTTCTTATGTTTAATCACTTGAATTTAAAGACGCAATATTAAAGTCGCTTCTTTTTTTTTATTATGTCTATTCATTTTCTTCTAAATAGACACAAAGTACAAGCGAGTCTTTATATCTGACAACTTATAAGGCTTTCGGAATATTTTGTATTTTTATTTAAATCAGAAACTATGTGAGATGCTACCGATTTAAATTATTGTCAGTCTATTCATTTTCGAATATAAAGTAAATTATCATCTTCTGTAAATTTGCTTAAAGTTTATAAAATTCAGTTTTTTTTCGAAAAAAAAGGTTCGTAGAGTCCGAAATTAAATTAATAAAAAACAATGATATAATTTGGAGAATTTTAGAGAAATAACAAATGATTGCAAAAATTCAATTATTTTCAAAAGTAATAACATTCTTCGCAAAAATTAAAATTTGTTCAAAAATAATAAAATTCTTCTTGGATTCAATTATTTTCATAAATAATTATAAAATTCATCGCAGTATTTCAATTATTTTTAATACAATTTTAATCAAATTTCTCGAAAAATGTAATTATTCTTAAAAATTTAATTAAAATTCTTCGAAATAATTCAATTATTTAAAAATTTCTCGATAAAATTCTTTATGGGAATTGAATTTTTAAGAAACATTCAATTATTCAATAAATGAATTGCAATTCTGTATTTGTAAAAATGTGTTTTGTTGAGAAGAAATTTTCATTTCGATGCCGTTGATGATGATAATAGAATAATAGTTCATTGACTGAATTGTGAGAGGGTGAAGAATTATTTTACACTGTTGTACTAATTAACGTTTTAACTTGTCTGCAGTCATGGTTCCGTGGCGTACGGAGCAGTAAATTCCGCCACGTTTATGGCGCACCAGCGAAGAGAGAAAAATGTTACGACAACATTAAAATCACCAAGAACGCCCATGATTCACAATTTTGCGCCGTTAATCCAAAATTTTTGGCAATCGTCACTGAAGTTGCTGGCGGTGGAGCTTTTCTAGTTTTACCACTCGATAATGTGAGTAAAAAATAATTATTTTCACTTTTACAGATCAAGGTCCAAAAAGGAAATCACTTCAGTCGATTAAAAATACGAAAAAAGGCGAAAAAATTCGTTTAGTTCATTGAATATTGTCACGAAAAATTAATTTTGAATTTCATCACTTAAAAAAATTAATTTAATATATTTAAAGAAAAATTAATTTCTTAATTAAACAGGGTTGCCACGCAACCTGGAAACCTAGAAAACCTGAAAATTTCAGGGAATTTTATAAACCTTGAAAAAACCTGGAAAAGTCAGGGAATTTTGATTGTTATTGTGCTTATTCTTGAAATCTAATTTTTCTTAAATATTTCAAAATTAATTCGATTTTAATATAATTCAATTATTTTCATAAATAATCAATTTTTTTTAAAGAGATTCAATTATTTTTATAATTAATAATACTCAACGCAGAATTTTAATTATTTTTAATACGATTTTAATCGAATTCTTCGACTAATGCAATTATTCGATTAAAACTTTAATTTAAATTCGTCAAAGGAATTGAATTATTTAAGAATTTGTTGTTAAAAATCTTTTCAAGAATGTAATTATTTTGAATACAATTTTAATTAAATTTTTTGAAATAATTTAATTATTTTTAAAAGTTCTTAATAAAAGTCTTCAAAACAAATCAATTCTTCTTTTAAAATTTTAATAAAATTATTCCAAGAATTCAATTATTTGCAAAAGTTGTAACAAAATTCTTTCCAGAAATTCAATTATTTTCAAAAAATTTAACAAAATTCTTCTCACGAATTCAATTATTTTACAATACAATTTTAATTAAATTATTTGAAATAATTTAATTATTTTTCAAAGTTCTAAAAAAATTCTGTAAAATAAATTAATTCTTCTTAAAAATTTTAATATAATGACTCCAAGAATTCAATTATTTGCAAAAGTTATAACAAAATTCTTATCAAGAATTCAATTATATTCAAAATAACAAAATTTTGTGCACAAATTAAATTATTTTCAAGAAATTTAATAAAATTCTTCGAAAGAATTCAATTATTTTCATAAATAATAAAATTCTTCGAAAGAATTCAATTCAATAATTCAATTATTTTTATAAACAATGAAACTCATCGCAGAATTTAAAATAATTTTAATCGAAAAATTAATTCGAAAAATTTCATTATTCTTAAAAATTTTATTAAAATTCGTCGAAATAATTCTAATATTTAAAAAATTTGTTCATAAAATTCTTTATGAGAATTCAATTATGAGAAATATTTAATCAATTTCAATAAATTATTTATTTGCATTTTATTTGTATTTAAATAATTAAATTCTCGTAGAATTTTTTTGATAAAAATTGATTCAAAAATGAATTTTAGTTAAAATTGTAGAAAATAATTGAATATTAAAAGCCTGTATTTTTATAAATAATTGAAATTTGAAAAGGTTTTATTAAAATTCATCAAAGAAATTCAATTATTTTAAAAAGCCTTCCTATAATTTATTTATTAGAATATTTAAGTATTATTGTTAATACATTTTTAATTAAATTTCTTGAAAGAATTCAATTATTTTCAAAAGCAATAAAATTCTTCGCAGAAATTCAATTACGGTTAAAAGTTTAAAAAAAATTCTCTCCAAAATTTCATTTATCTTTATAAATAATAAAATTTTTCTCCAAAATTCAATTATTTTAAAAAAGTTTCAAAAATGTTAATAAAATTTTTGGCAAAATTTTAATTATTTTAAAAAACTTTTCTCAATTCAATGAAATTTTTTACAGGAATTCAATTATTTTTAATACAATTTTAATCTAGTTTCTCGAAAAATGAAATTATTCTTAAAAATGTTATTAAAATTCGTGAAAAGAATTTTAAATATCATTTTAAAAATTTGTTGATAAAATTCTTTATGAAAGTTGAATTTTAAAAAACATTCAATTCTTCAATGAATTATTTATTTGCATTTTATTTGTATTTAAATAATTGAATTCTCGTAGAATTTCCTAATAAAAATTGATTTAAATATGAATTTCAGTTAAAATTTTAGATAATAATTGAATATTAAACTCTCTAAATTTGAGTTAGTAAAAATTTTTCTAATTTGAATTAGTGACTGACTTTTTGCTTTTGAATTAGCAGATTTTACTAATAAATAGTCATTTCTACTAATTTAATAGTAAAATTTACTAATTCAAAAACAAAAAGTCAGACACTAATTTCAATTTAGTAAACATTTTTACAAATTCAAGTTTCCGAATAATTGATGAAATTTCGTAAAATTTAATTGCAAACAAAAGGATTTGATAATTTTCAAAAAAAAAAATTTCAAAAATTATTAATTTAAAGAAGAATTTTAGTTTAAAAATTCTAGAAAACAATAAATTATTAATGATTTTATTAGTCGGTGATTTTTAATTATTATAAAACATGAAGATATTGATTGCTCCGAGTCGAAGACTCGGAGCAATCAATATCTTCATGTTTTATAATAATTTTTTGTAAGTTGTTTAATTTCACAAAAGCTTTTTTTTTTGAGCCTATTTTAATAATAATTATTCAATGAATGAAAACGAGAAGAAAAAAAATGTTCAATTTATATCTTGAAATCGATAATGAAAAGAAAAAATGAATAATTTGACCGATTAAATTAATTACCAAAGGACTTTACCGTAACTTGTTTTAGAATTAGAAATAAAATTCTACTTTCACTGCTATTTCTTGATGCTAATTGCCCGAGCTGTTAATCTCAGTCTTGTTATAGCTTTTCCATGATCTGTTGGAGTTGAGTCTTTCTCTCTCTCTCTCTCTCTCTCTCTCTGAATTTACAATTTTTATTCAACTTTCATTGCCACTATCCGTGACTATAATGCGATTATGTCTTACGCCCTCGTGAAAATTAACAATTCTTATTTACCTAACAACTAGTTTATAGTTATTTTTAGAAATATTATTATATACCATTTTTTTTCTCGTAACAAAAACACTTCCTAAAAATTATAATTTGATTTATGAAAATTTCCTCGTTTCTCAATATAATTAGATAATTTATTTTTTTCTCTGGATTTTGATTTTTTAATACTTTAATATTCTTTTATTATTAAATGCTCAAGCATTTTTATTTCCTTGATTCTATTATTTGTAAAAAGGTCCATTTTAGGAATATTTTCAGTTCTTTTTTAATTATTTTATTTTTTAATTGAATTTTTTTTTAATTATTATTTAATTTTTTAATTGAATTTTTTTAATTATTTTTTTTTTGTTTCTATTATTTTTAGAAAATTAAAACTTTCGGAGTGTTTTAAGTTTTTTTTTAATTATCCAGAATATTAATTGGAGAATAATTTTGTTTAATGATGAATAAAGATTGAGTTGGAAGAAATAATCGAATTCACCGGCAAACTTTCTATGAAAGATTAATTTAATTATTTCTTTATAAAAAACGGAAATTGTTTCGATAAAAGAAATATTAACTGCTCTATGAGGCACACTGCTTATACTTTTTCTCTACTTGAGGTTTTTGTGAGTAAAATGTAAATACGATACAGTTCAGAGAATATTAATTCGCTAATCGTTAATCAGAATTAGATAATTTATAACAAAGCGATTGTTTTCGAATCACTTTTTCCACTAATGATTTTTGATTATTTATAATCTCGGTTTATATTAAATTTATTAGCTTCTTTCTGGTAGATATTAGTTTCATAATTTTTTATTTTTATTATCTTTGCGGCCTCTTATTTATATTTTTACTATTTTATTATTTTTGCGGCATCATTTTTATTTTTTTGTCTTCGTTTGTCTTATTATTAAAATTACACGGACGTTAAAGACTATTATTATTTATTATTTTTTTATTAATTCTTATTTGTAATTACATTAGTTATTAAATTAGTCCATTATATAATTATCGAATTAAAAAATAATATGGAAACATTCTCAGTTTAATTAATTTTAGAATTTTTTCCTTCGATGTGAACTAAAAGTTGATTAATTAATTTTTTTTAATAGAAAAATTTGCTGATTTATTTTGCTGTTTACTCTTGGGTAAATAAGTTTGATTTTAAATAAATTGCTTTTTTTGCAGACTGGTCGCTTGGATTTTAATGTCAGTAGAGTAACCGGACACACTGGCCCTGTACTCGACATCAAGTGGAATCCATTCAACGACAACGTTATTGCTTCGTGCTCCGACGATTGCACGGTTAGACACTTTAATCTGATAAATATACTTTGTAAATCATATGAGACATGTCAAGTCGCACAAGATTTAAGATAATGTTACACTGAAACTTCTTTTTTTTCTGAATTTACTTTTCTTTTTACTTTCTTTCTAATACTCCGGGTGTTTTAATTTGCATTTCTCGTTTTTCAAACTGGATTTTTGATGTATTGAATTTTTCATTCAATTTATTTGTATATTTATTTTTTATTTAATTTAGTATTTAATTTCATTTTTACTTTATTTTTATTTTATTTGTATTTCATTTTTAATTACGTAAAGATTCGTAAATTTGCTTCAAGTCCGTAAAATTCAATTTTTTTTTTGGAAAAAGAATTAGAATCCGTAATTTGATTGAAAAAGCACGAAAAGTTCGTAAATTGTACGATATAATTTGGAAAATTTTAGAGAAATTACAAATGATTGCAGAAATTCAATTATTTTCAAAAGTCATGAAATTTTAATAAATTTCTTGGCAAAATTTCAATTATTTTCAAAAAATTTCCTCAATTAAAGGTTTTTTAATATCTACTATTTAAATAAAATTTTCCAAAAGAATTCAATTATTTTCATAAAATAATTCAAAATTTTACAGGAATTTAATTATTTACAATTTTTTTTTATAAATTTCTTCGCAATCATTCAATTATTTCTATTTAATAATACAATTTTTACAGGGATTCAATTATTTTCATAAATAATAAAATTCACCGCAGAATTTCAATTATTTTTAATACAATTCTAATAGAATTTCAGAAAAAGATTTAATTTTTCCATATATAATAAAATTCTTCACAAAAATTCAATTATTTAAAAAAATTTTAATAAAATTCTTCTCAGGAATTCAATAATTTTCATAAATAACAAAATTTCTTCTAAACAATTCAGTTATTTTCAAAAATAATAAAATTTTGCCCAAGAATTTTCAATTATTTTGAAAAGAATTTTAATAGAATTTATTTTTAAAAAATTCAATTCTCCCAAAAATAACAAAAATTCTTCCAAAAAAATTCAAAAATTATGAAAAATTTTAATAAATTTCTCAAAAGAATTCAATTATCTCCATAAATAATAAATATCTTCACAGGAGTTCAATTATCTGTATAAATGATAAAAATCTTTTCGATAAATAATAAAATTCTTCAAAAATACATAAAATACTTTCAAAATTAAAAAAAAAAAATTCCCATAAGAATTAAATTATTTTCATAAATAATAAAATTTTTCCCAAAAATTCAATTTTTTTAATAGAATTTAAATAAAATTTCTTTAAATAATTTAATTATTTTATACATTTGAAAAAATTTAATTTTTTCCATAAATAATAAAATTCTTTTTATGAATTCAATTATTTTCATAAATAATAATCAAATTCATCGCAGGATTTCAATTATATTTAAATTAATTTTAATCAAAATCCTCGAAAAATTTAATTATTTTAAAAGATTTTATTAAAATTCATCAAAAAAATTCAATTATTTAAAAATTTGTTGATAAAATTCTTTACGAGAATTGAATTTTCTTTTGAATTATTCAATAAATTGTTTTTTGTATTTGAATATGTGATTGAATTCTAGTGGAATTTTCTCATAAAAATTGATTTAAAAATGGATTTCAATTAAAATTTTAGATTATATTTGAATAACAACAGCAATTATTTTTCCTTTCGTTTTAGTTTACTTTTACTTTATTTTTCCTTTCGTTTTACTTTATTTTTCCTTTATTTTTACTTTGTTTTTCCTCTATTTTTACTTTATTTTTCCTTTCGTTTTCCTTTCTTTTTACTTTATTTTCCCTCTATTTTTACTTTATGTTTCCTCTACTTTTATTTAATTCAACATTTATTTCCTTAATTATAATATTTTTTATTGGCTACTTTTCAGGTGAAATTATGGCATATTCCGGACGGTGGCCTGTCGAGAAACTTAACCGATTGGATAGTTGAATTACAGGGACACAAGAGACGAGTGGCTTATATAGAATGGCACCCTGTCGCCGAAAATGTCCTCTTCAGTGCGGGATTCGATCATCTCGTCATTGTTTGGGATATAAACAGGGGAGAGGCCATCAGCGTAATCGACAGACATCCCGATGTAATTTACAGTATGTCTCTCAATAGAGATGGAAGTCTACTTGCCACCACTTGCAAGGATAAAAAACTTCGAGTCTTTGAACCTAGATCTGGAATCGTTGTCTCGGTAAATTCAAATTTTTACTTGTCTATATTTAAAGAAAGTGGTTAAAAAAAAGTAAAAAAAAAATATTAAACTGCAAAAATTAAACGAAAGTCTAGACTTTCTCATTTCAGTTATTTCTTTAATTTTTAATTAATAAGAGTGTTATTTAATCTTGTATTTCAAATTGCTTGAAATGATAAGTAGTTTATTTAGTTAAATAAAAGCCGTGAGGTGAAAGTGAAATAGTTGAGCAGAAATAATTCTAAAAAGAATAAATTTAATACAGTATAAATGAAAATGGAATTGATACGAGCGAGTGAATCGATTTTTATACAAAATTTCAGGCTTTAAAACTATTATTTAAAAACTAACTATTTATAAAACTACTATTTACTACTTTTTTCACGATTATTTAAAAAAATTTTCGAAATTCAATTCTCAATATTTACTATATTTTACTGGAAAGTTTCCCAAAAGAATTCAATTATTTTTATAAATTTTAGTTAAATTCTTCGTAGCAATTCAATTATTTTCAAAATTTTTTTTATAAAATTCTACGTAGAAATTTAATTATTTTAAAATTTATTCAAAATTCAAATTATTTTTAATATTTTCCATTTCAGTAAAATTTCCCAAGAGAATACATTTATTTTAAAAAAATGTTAATAAAAATCGTCGCAAGAATTCAATTATTTTCATAAATTATAAAACTCTAGGGAAGAATTCAATTATTTTCAAATTTCAATAAAATTTCTTAAAATGAAATTTAATTATTTTTAAAAAGTTTGTTTCGAAAAATGTTTTTAAAATAAAATTCTTCTCAGGAATTGAATTCTTTTTAATAGAATTTTAAATCGATTCCTCAAAATATGTAATTATTGATCTTTAAAATTTTATTTAAATTTTTCGAAAGAATTCAATTATTTTTGTAAATAATAAAACTTTTCTTAGCAATTCAATTATTTTAAAAAATTTTAATAAAATTTGTTGCAAGAATTCAATTATTTTCATAAATAATAAAACTGATCGCAGGATTTCAATTATTTTTAATAAAATTTTAATCTAATTCCTCGAAAAATGGAATTATTCTTAAAAATTGTGTTAAAATTCTTCGAAAGAGAATTTTTAAAAACAAAATTTGTTGTTAGAATTCATTTAATTCTAAAAATTGTAATACACTTTTTAGAAGAATTCAATTATTTTTCAGTTAATTAATTTTAATGAAATTCCTCTTACGAATTTAACTTTTCTTCGAAACAATTAAATTTGTATTTTTACAAATTTTATTTCTTTTATTATTTGTATACAAAATAAAATTTTTACTGTAATTTAATAATTTAACAGATTTATTGTAATTAAATTTCAATTATTTTGAATTCAATTTTAAATGGATTCGTCGAAAAGTAATTATTCTTAAAAAATTTTGTTAAATTTCTTCGAAAGTATTGAATTATTGTAAACAATTTTGATAAAGTTCTTTATAAGAATTCAATTTTAAGAAACATTTAATTATTTATTTTTGTATTTAAATAATTGAATTCTCGTAGAATTTTCTAAAAAGAATTGATTTATAATTGAATTATTCTCGTAGAGTTTTTTTAATAAAAATTGATTTTAAATTGAATTTCAGTTAAAATTTTAGATAATAATAATAATAATAATTGAATATTAGAAGCGTTATGTAGTAAAATTAATAATGAAACATCAAGAGATTTTTAAATTGAAAGTTTTGAAAATTTTAATTGTAAAGCTGTAATAATATTAAAATTTTTATTTCGAAATAAAATAAGTAAAGTTTCAAATAATTTTATTTAAAATATTCAAAAAAAAAAAAAAAAATGATTGAATTTTGGAAGAGTTACAGTTGTAATTTTTTAAAATAGTTAAAATTTAAAAAGGCATTGAAGTTATTTAAAATATTTGAATTCCTTAAAAAAAAGAGATAGGAATTTAAATATTTAGGAAAAAAATTACCCTATTTTTGAATCTAATTTAATTTGAAAATTATGGAATAATTGAGTCGTAAATTTAATTTTTTGATTGCTACTTTTTTGCTACTTTCTTTCAGTCTTAAATCTACTTTTTAAAAAAATTAATTGTCTAGTACGAAGTCTGAAAAAAATCAGAATATTGAATTTAATTTGGAATTTTGTTTCTTTTCTTTTCTTTTTTTACTTTTATGAACATTGTTTTATTATTTAATTTTCAACAGGAAGGAATTTGTCATGCTGGTACAAAAGCGAGTAAAGTGGTATTTCTTGGTGGATCCGGTAGATTATTAACCACCGGATTTAGTAGACATTCTGATAGACAATACGCCGTTTGGAGCCAACATGATTTATCAAGTCCATTGACTTGCGAAACGATAGACTCATCCAGTGGAATTGTTTTTCCCTTTTATGATAATGACACCAATATGGTCTACCTTGCTGGAAAAGTAAGTCATTTTTTATTCCTTTTATTTCCGAAATTAAACAAGTGTAAAAAATATAATTTTACTGAAAAGTTGAATTCGTTTTGACATTTTGAGAGTGAAAATAATTTTGCATATTTGTTAATGTTTCAGGGAGATGGTAACATTCGATATTACGAGGTAGTGAACGAAGCACCATGGTTGCATTTTCTCAGTCAATTTATTTCTGGAAATCCTCAGCGGGGTTTGGGAATTATGCCGAAGCGGGGTGTCAGCACTGCAAACTGTGAGGTCTTCAGGTTCTTTAAACTTCACGCGACTCGCGGAATGTGCGAACCAATCTCTATGATCGTTCCGAGAAAGGTAATTATTTAATTTAATGTTAATTTGTTAATATATTTTTTATTTTATTAATATATTTATTAATATTAGTATATTTATTAAATATTTATTTATTAATTTAATATCAGAATATAGGAAAATTCTTTTAAGTACAAATAATACGAGTTAAATTTACTTGAAAGTTTATTTATTGTTAATTTATTCATTTATTTGATATATTATTATTTACTTAATTTTTTTTTGAATTATTTTTAGAGTGATCAGTTTCAAGAAGACTTGTATCCCGACACAATTGGAACGACTCCGGCTCTTTCTGCCAAGGATTGGATCAGTGGCATGAACAATCCGCCAATTTTAATCTCCCTAAAAACTGGTAATTATAAACTATCGTCATTAATTAAATTCTATAATTAATTTCTCTTATTAATAAATACTTGAGAAGAACTTAATAAATACGTTGAAAAGAATTATTAATTTCGAAAAATTATTTGAAAAGAATTATTTCTAAGAGAATAATAATGTTCAACCTCTTGTTTTTCTTTTTTGAAAGGTGGCAGTATTACAACACATAAGCCTCGAATTTACAAACCACCTCAATTGACACCAGCGACTGATTTAAATAATAAGAAGAAATTTGCCTTTCTGTCAACTGAAACTGTGCCTGACTATAGATCCGTGGAATTACTTGACATGTCGGAAAAAAGTCAAAAAACCTCCAGCAACCAGAGCACAAAATTCCATCAGTTACAACAAAAATTCGGCAATATTCAGGTAAAATTATCATTATTTTCCTTCTCACTAATTGTTTTCTGCTTTATAATGCATGTCTGTGTGTTTCAATAAAAATCAATCGCTGACTTTATATTATTTTTTGTTTCTCACTTATGAGAAATTTGTCTTCGTTTCTTGATATTTTTTTCTGTGTTTGACGATTTTCTTGCTTTATTTTGGTGAAAAGAGAGTGTGTTGAAAAAATGTGTTCGAAACGTGTTTGAGCTTAATTTTTTGGTCAAAAAGAGAGTGTGTTGAAATAATTTTTTGTCCGAAACGTTTGAGCTTAATTTTTTAGTGAAAAGAGAGTGTGTTGAAATAATTTTTTGTCCGCAACGTTTGAGCTTAATTTTTCTAAGATCTAGAGAAATTTGCACTAACACTATTTGCACGGTTAACTCCAAGTCAACAAGATTTCATCTCAATTTCAAGCTGGGGATTTTTACAAATTTCTTGCCAAGGTAGGAATCGCACGATTTTTACTTATAATTTGTGCTTTTATTGTAAATTAGTGAATGGTTATTAATTAATTAATTATTTAAAGGCTTCGTACTAATCTACTAAAACCTATTATTTACTGCTTTTTTTTGTGATTTGCTACTATTTGGATACTTTTTTTAGATTTGTGACATACTAAATGCTATACTTTTTTCTATGTTTGAAAATTTGCACTACTTTTTTCTATATTTGAGAATTTGCACTACTTTATATTCACTAATAGTTGGAATAGAAAATTATTTTTAAAGATTTTAATAATATTCTTGCAAACAATTCATCAAATTTTAATAAAACTCTTTTTAACGAATCAATTATTTACAAAAATTTACGAAATTCAATTATTCAAAAAAAATTAAATACAATTCTTCGCAAGAAATCAATTATTTTCATAAATAATAAAATTGTCACAGGAATTCAATTATTTAAAATACAATTTTCATAAAATTTTCCAAAAAAAGTATTTAAAAAGATTCTTCTAAAATTCTTCACAAGAATTCAATTATTTTTATAAATAATAAAGTTCTTCTCAGGAATTGAATTATTTTTAATACAATATTAAATCAATTCCTTGAAAAATGCTTAAAATTTTTCAAAAGAACTCAATTATTTTTATAAATAATAAAACTTTTCTCAGGAATTCAATTATTTTTATTACAATTTTAAATTAATTCTTCGGAAATGTAGTTTTATTTAAACTTTTATTAAAAATCTTTGACAAAATTCAATAATTTCAAAAAGTTTGATATAATTTGTTTATTAGAATTAAAGAATTATTTCAACAAATTTTTAATTAAGTTTCTAGAAAGAATTTAATTATTTTCATAAATTTTAATAAAATTCTTCGTAGCAATTCAATTATTTAAAAATTTTTTTTTTATAAAATTCTACGTAGAAATTTAATTATTTTAAAAAATTATTCAAAATTTCATTATTTTCAATATTTACTATTTTAATGAAAAACCCAAAAAAATTCAATTATTTAAAAACGATTTTTATAAAATTCTTTACAAACAAGAAATTATATTCATAAATAATAAAATCTCCACTGGAATTCAATTATTTAAAATACAATTTTCATAAAATTATTCGAAAAAATCAATTATTTAAAAAGATTTTCATAAAATTCTTCGCAATAATTCAATTAATATTATATTATAAATATTAATATTATATTATAATATTATATTATAATATTAATATTATAAAGATATTAATATTATAATTATAATTATAATAATTAATATTATATTATAAATATTACAATTTTTCTAATAAATTCAATTATTTTGAAAAATTTTAATAAAATTCTTGACAAAAATCCAAATATTTTTGTAAACAATAAAACTAATCGCAGGGTTTCAATTATTTTTAACATGAATTCAAATAAATTCCTCAAAAAATGCAATAATAATTCTTAAAAATTTTATTAAAATTCTTAATAAGAGAATTCAATTATCTTGGTAAACAACAAAATTCTTCCCATAAAATCAATTATTCAATTATTAAAACAAAATTTGATGGAATTTGTTTATTAGAATTTAATAATTATTTTCGATACATTTTTAATTTAGTTGCTGGAAAGAATTTAATTATTTTCAAAAAATTTAATGAAATCTTTGTAAAAATTCAATTATTTTCAAAAAATTTTACTAAAATTCTTCGTATAAACTTAAATTTTCTTCGATACAATTGAGTTTGTATTTTTATTAGTATTTTTTTTTTTTATTATTTTCATAAATAATAAAATTTTATTTTCACAGAATATCAATTATTTAATTAATTTAATTCAGTTTCAATGATTAGTAATACAATTTTTAAATAAATTCTTCGAAAAATGCAATTATTTTTGAAAATTTTAGTAAAATTCTTCGAAAAAATTCAAAAATTTCATAACGTTTTTATAAGAATTCAATTTTTGAATAATTAAATTCTCGTAGAATTTTCTAATGAAAATTGATTTAAAATTGAATTTCAGTTAAAATTTTAGATAATAATTGAATATTAGAAGCGTTATTTACTAAAATTTTTCGAATAATGAAATTGCAAAAGATTTTTAAATTTATATTTGTAAAAATTTTAATTGCTGCCAAAAATTAAAATTTTTATTTTGAAGTAAAATATTATTAAAGTTTTGAATAATTTTATTTAAAACTTTTTTCAGCTTTAAAGCTACTTTTTTAAAGTTAATTATCGAGTACGAAGCCTATAATTAATTACCTAATTAATTAACTCATTTATTAATTATGAAATAATTGATGGATTACTGATTATTAATAAAATGTTTCTTCTTTTTTTTTTATTTAGAATAACATTGAGACCTCGGCAATGAATGACAATAAATTAGAAGCGGTGGACGATCCGAACAACGAAGCCGAATTGCGATTAGCATTCGCTCGACAAACAGACGAATTACGAATCGTTCGTCGTCAACTTGCAAACAGTCAATTACGCGTTAAGGAACTCGAGGAACAAATTCGAAAAATGCAAATTCACTGAGAGAAACTGTGAAGAAAAAAAATCACTTTTCTCTTTTTCTGATTACAAAAATTGTGTCTGAATTCGTTTCACAATGATCAAAAAATTCGAAAGAGAAGAATTTATTTTCTGTTAATTCACACAAAAAATGAATTTACTATACTAAAGTATAGTATTTTTTTACTATACTTAGTAGTGACTAAAGAAAATTGGAAATTAAATTTAATTCAAATTTCAATATTTGAAAAAAAAGATGATAAGTTTTGGATACATTTTTCTAAAGAGAAATTGAAAGTATTAAAAATGTAAAAATTTCAATGCAAATTGTGTAATTGAAAAAAAAAAAAATTTCGAAAGAAAATGACAATTTTTCTTTGACACAAATGATAAAAAAGTGATTGAAAAGTGATTTATAAATAATTTCGTGAATTGCGATATTGAAGATACGAAAAAGAAAATTGATCACAAAAAATAGTTTTATTGTGAGTAGAATTTTTTTGAACATAGAAATAATAAGAATTTGAAAAATTTATTGAGAACAAAAGAAATTACAGTGATTTGATTTTTTTTATAATCTATATACGATTCTGTGATTCATTCCTTGCGTTAATTAATTTTTGTTCATTCCTTATTTGGGATTTCACGCCTGGAATAAATGTTGACTGAGATTTTCTTTTCAAGTCGAACTTTCAATTAATTTCAGTTCGACTTTTTGTGTTCTTCTCTTCATTTTCAAAAATTTGCTTCTTTCTGTTTTGTAGTCCATTTCCGCATAGAATTCATATTCTTTTCGAATAAAAGAATTTTTTCTAAATACTTCATTCATTTTTTTTCTTGTATATTAAAGAAAATATTTTTAAACTAATTTTTTCATTTTTAAATTATTTCGTTATAATCGTTATAGTTAAGTTTATTAAGTTAATTCATTTAGAAATTTAATTAAAATTAACTAATTAATAATAGTTATGAAAAATTAATCAGAGATTTAAATATTTGTTTTTCCTTCTGTTATATTTATATTAACATAAAAATATTTTGAAGTATTTGGAGATTTTTCTATGGATTCGAAAAGGAAAGAGGATTTTTTTTTAGATTTTTTATTTATTTTTTTTCTGATCAGTTACCAATCGATATTGTGCAATCAATGTGTAGTGTGCAAAAAGCTGTGAGACGCGCCGTAAATAATTAGCGTTAATCCCCATATCGCACAGTGATAATAGACGTAAATGAATTTTCTAGGACCAATGAATATTTGTTGATCATTGATGAATATTATACTTTTTGCCTAGTAATGATTAAATCGAAAAAAAAGAAAAAAAAACTTTTTACACAGTATTTACAAGAATATTTTTCATACACAATCAAGATTAATGTAGTTCTGATAAAAAATAATAATAATTACCTGAATAAATTGTTGACGAGAGAAAAAGAAATTATAATATACAGTTTGAAATTTATATATGAAAGGGAAAATAAAAATTTAGCTTGGCACATTTTTTCTAGAAATACTTGCACCTTATTTATTAAATATAATGAATAGCGTGTGCCTTTCGAAAAGGGTATAAAGTTCTTTGATAAAAAAAAACACTGCCCGTATTTTTCTCTTATGGAAATATATAAAAATATATTCGAAAGATGAAAATCTGTGTTCGAAATTTGAAATAGCTTTTTGACTAGAAAGAAGAAGAAGAAGAATTATTCTACAAAAAGATAGTTTTATTTTTCTGTTTACTTCATCTTTTTGAGAGTATTTTTTTAGAAAGCGATAACAATTATTATTGTACACTCAAGGAAGTTCGAAATAAGAGCAAAAAAAAGTATTTATTCAGCGTAGAATTATTCTATATTTAGATATTAGAAAAATTAGAGTGAAATTTACTGCACGCTCTAAGAATCAACGCAAAGAAAATACAAAAATTGTTAATTTATTTTCAAAAAAATGTTTACATTTTTTCCTTCTTTATTTTCTTTTTCCTTTCGACGTTTACTTCTATTTTTTCTCCTTTTTGCTGACTTTAGGATAAAAATATATTCTATCATTTTTTCTCAAAATAAAGATTCGAAGAATAGAAAATAAATTGGCAGATGAATTTTTTTTAGGGCGTTTTTTATTGCCTTATGTACACAATGCCAAAGAGAACTTGTGTCACAGAATTTATATGCACAAAAAAATATGTATTTTTCGAATCATCAATTTGCGTGTTTGTCAGTGATAAATGATAATACAATTTTTATCTAAAAAAAAACATTATACATTTATATACATTATTATTATTATTATTATTATTATTATTATTAAATATTATGTACGTTGTAAGTGATCGACAATTTGTATGTATTTGATGAAGTATGTGAAACATTTCTAAGCTAACACTTATTTAGAAAATAAAAGCGGATAAAAAAAGAAAAATCAGTTCGTTTTCTTTTTTTAATTTACAAATAACGAGTAATTGTAAAATATTAAAACTAACAAAATTGTTTCGCGATTTATCAATTTTGTCGTCGATTTTATTTTATCCAATTTTTTTGGATCTGTTGCGAATTTTTTTTTGGTTTTTCGTGGACGGAAAACGATTTTAATAATATCAACAGTTTAATATATTTTTACACAATGTATAAATTGTTCGTATTATAGGAATAATTAAAATTAATTAATATTATTGATTATTAATTAATGAATTAGAAAAAATTATCAAAAATATTGAAATATTACAAAAATGTAAAAAAAAGTAAAAAATTGAATTGAAAAACTTCAAGGATATTAAAAACATTAAAAATGTTAGAAATTTTTTGTAATATTTTTGATATTTGAAAAATAGTAGAAAATATTTTCGATATTTTCAATATTCTCAATATTTTAAAAATATTAGAAAATATTTTTAATATTTACAAAAAATACTCGAAGATATTAGAAAATATTTTTAATATTTTAAAAATACTAGAAAATATTGGAAAATATTTTTTAATATTTAAAAAAAAAATACAAGAAAATATTTTCGATATTTTTTCAATATTTTAAAATAATATTATAAATATTTTAAAAATCTAATAAGATATAGAAAATATTTTTAATATTTACAAAAAATACTAGAAAATATTTTTAAAAAAAATAAATAAATAAATTTATTTATTATTTATTTATTTATTTATTATTTTTTTAAGGGGATTTGAACCTTGATGACGTCACAGTTTGTGCAAAGCATTAGTTTTAAATCTGTGACGTCATCATGGTTCAAATGCCCTTAAATATTTTTTATTTATTTTTAGAAAATATTTTTTTTTAATATTTTAAAAATACTAAAAAATATTTTTAATATTTACAAAAAATACTAGAAAATATTTTCAATATTTTAAAAATACTAGAAAATATTAGAAAATACTAGAAAATTATTTTCGACGAGACAATTTTTCTTAGACACTTAAAATTATTTCGCAGGCGCTAAATTATTAATTATTACACAATTGTTACATAAATAATAGAGAAAAATAATTATATTGCGGTAACATTAATGTAACAATTCTATTTACATTGACTGCATTTTAAAATTTTTCTCTACATTGTTTTGCAATTAATTTTTTTTCTAATTACTTTTGTTTATGCATTTTCTACTTATTATTCTATAATTCTAAGATTTACATTTCGAGAAACGTTAATTTCATTTTGTTTATACAATCTGCTTTTAAAAAGCATTTTTTGTTCATTTATTTACGAATTCAAAATTCCATCAGTACAAAGTTTTGCTAATTTTATTTTTTATTTGTCAATTATAATTATTTTATTTTCAAAATTAATAAATAAAATTTAAAAAAAAACTGTAGAAAAAAAATTAAGAAATTGTTTAATATTTTAAACAATTTTTTATTTTTCAATTTTTGTCAATTTTCGAAAAAATTCTTTTTTTACATAAAAAATTGTTTTAAAAAAGTAATTATCATAAATCAAATTTTTAAAATAAAGAAATAAATTTTTTTTTAATACTTTTCATTTTAATAATTATTTTCTAATAAATTTTTCAATAATTTCGATATAAATTGAATTTATGTTGACAAATTTTTAAATTAAATTTTATATTAAAAATATTTAAAAAAAACAAAAGAATAAAAATTTTTCAACCAAACATTAAATGTTTGGAAAATAATGAAATTTGTTAATTAAAAATTATAAAATAATTATCGTAATCAATAATAATAAAATAATAATTATTATTGTAAAAAATTACAAACAATATTTATTATTGTTTATAATGATAAATAGAATAATAAATAATAATAATAATAAAATAGTAATAATAGAATATTAATAATTATTCTTATTATTATTATTATTTACTATTAGAAATAATAATTATTATAATTATTTAAATAAAATAATATTAAACAAATTCAAATTTTTTTTTTTAAATTTACAAAAAAAATATCTATATTTAGTTAAATAATTTTTTTTAAATATTAATTTATACTTTTTGAATTGTTAATTTATTAAAATTTGTTTCAGTGACAGTTACACGAAACGATTCACTGCGCAACTTTTTACTTTGAATTTTGAATTTAAATATTTTCCCGCGCTTCCGGTTGGCGTACTACGCTAGTCAGCTATACCAAATCCTTTTCAACTTTACCTTCGCAAAAATAATGGAAAAATAAGAAAAATACTTGTAAAAGCAATTATTAATTGATTTGGCAATGAATTTGTCGCTGAATTACAACCATCTCCAGTACATGTGTAAACACATGTACGATACTCTAATTTGTCGCCAGGTTGTTGCACGTAGTCACAGTAGTTGCCGAGATTGTACGAAGAGCATTCGCGCTTTGTGCCGATGCCGCCTGCAATTTCAGAACATCAGAGTGAATATTTCATATTCATTTCAATATTTCCAAGTATTTTTCAATTTATAAGTGTTATTTAATCATAAAAACAAGCGTGCAAGTAGTGAAGCACATTATTTACGAGTGTTAATTGATGGAAACAAGGAGTCAACAATCTCGACAATCGTGTGTCGTATTTTACATTTTTGTCGTCAACTCTCGTGAAAATGTGAAAGCATGGTAAGTGAATTTTACTTATTTTTGATTGAAAATGGTAAATACGTGTAAAATAATAAGCATATTTGGGAAAAATCGGATCGTGTCAGCTAATTTCTGAAAATATTCGCCACCCCCCACCCTATTGCCCCCTCGCCCCTTTATTATTGCTACCCGACTTTCAATATGGCGTCAAATACATTGTTTATTGCAAATCCCGCTTTTTTTACTCACTTAGCAACAATGCTGTGACCGTTGTGACTAGTAACGGAAAATTGAGAAGAAAATTTTGATTTTAATGATTGTTTAATTAGTATACATTGTGGGTTATGTGTGTAAAACAGAGAGTCGTTTCGGAATCATGAGGTAGTCAATTTACCGCAAGTATTAATTTATATTTCTTATGTTTTATGTATGTAATGTGAAATTCTGCCAAAATAACCTCAATATTTTTATCCTTAAAAATGGAACTTGAGTTTTTATTTCTAAAATAGTGAAGCAAAGTGTTTTTTTTAATAGGAAATCGGTAAAATGTTCGTGAGAAAGTGAAAAATAACGTATATGTAACAGAAAATGTTTGATTCTAGAATATTTTTTGGAATTTCGAGTGAATTTTATTTCATTTTGTTCCATTTTTTTACAGAAAGGAAATAAATATTAAATGTTTGTGAGTATTTGGAATAAAAAGGTAGGATGATAAGTGCTATTGAGATTAATATTGAAATTTATTGAAATTAATAGTAAATGAATAATTTTCAGAATAATCGACACGTTCCGGTTTTCTTTTTCTTTTTTTTGCGGTTAATTATTAATATTATATGAACCTCCATATGTCCCAATAGATTTAATGCAATATTGTGCCTCGAAGATGTGATCGCAACTTTGGGGTTGATATTTTTCCATCATCAATTGTTCATCTCCACATTCCCATTCAGTTGCAGATGCACATTGATAGCAATTGATTCCCAGTCCTCCATAAAGAGTTAATTTGTTAGTTAATAAAGCTACATGCATTTTTTAAATAATTTATAATTTTTTTTCTGAGAAAAATAAATCTCACAAGATTAATTGTTTTATGCTAAACAAAACAATTTTTTTTCTTCCGTCACAACTTTTTTTTTCATGTGTGTTAGTGAATTTTTCCATCCATGGAATTGAAATTATAATTATTAAAATTAAAAATTAAAATTAATTGCTGAGATTAAAAATTGAAATTAATTATTAAAATTATTTAATTATTAATTTCTTTTTTAATAATAAATTAATTATTCATTTAGTTTTCAATTACTAATTAATTGTTAATTTACTTTTCAATAATTAATTAATTAATATAAATAATTTCTACTAATTTGTAAAATTAATATGTTAAAATTAAAAATTGAAATTAATTATTAAAATTAAAAATTAAAATTAATTATTAACAATTACTTATTCCATTAATTCAAGTGTAATTATATTAAAAACCTTCTAGGTATTTACCTTTCACCCTTTTCCAAAAATTCCATTTTTTTTTACCAAAAAAGCGATCGAATTTATAAAAAACAAAAAAATATGTAGGATTCAGGTCCATTTTATCGATCTGCACCTAAAACTTTTTATTTTCTGTTCCACGAAAGCAGGTGATTAATAATAATTATCTAAATTAAAATGCAAATATTTCGAAATAGATGAAAAATGAGGGAATGATTTTTCGTTATTGCATTTTTAGACTTCTGAATATTAGAATGTTAATTAAAAGAGATGATGATGTTAGTAAATGAAATTGAAAATTTTAAGCATATAAAAGCATTTTTTTTCTTTTTTTTTTGTTTTGAAAATTTTACCAGCAAAACGGCCAACGCGTTTCACACAAAATTGAGCACCATAAACGTCATCACACGATTCTGGGTTCAAATCGAAGTCATCTCGTAAAAATTCGTTGCATTGAAATGGATTTGAACTATTTGTGCTTTCGCATCTATAACATTTGATGCCGAATGCTAAAAGGAAGGAAAATAATTAAAAAAAAGAACAAAAAATGTTCTTTAAAATATTTTTTATGTTTCTTATAATTATCTTATAATAAATAAAATGATTTTAGTTAAGGAAAAATCTGTCGGACAGTCAGAATCGAAAGTTAGTCCAATGCCATAATTTCGTAAGACAAATTAAATTTTAAATTCGTTTTGGTGGAAAAATTAATTTAATTTTGAACATTTTAAACATTTGAAATAAAATACAATTTTCTGTCAAAAAAAAAAGTTTGTTAATATAAACTAAATATTAGCAACTTTTTTTTCGACAGAAAATTGTAATTTTTTTCAAATATAACTTTAAATTGTTCAAAATGTAGAAAATTAAATTCCTTACGTTTCTACTGAAAGGAATTTAAAATCTAATTTTTTCTTTTTTAAAATATAAAATTATACCATTGGATTAACTTTTGTTCCGATTGTTTGTTGGATTCTTGCTTAAAAATTTTAATTGAATAAAATTGAATAAAATAATAGACAAAAGAATTGATTCAATTTTAAAGTTCTAAAATATATGAATTTCTCTAAATGATCTAGACAAAAGATTTCTCGGTCTTGGAACAGAATTTTGGTGATTGAATGAAAGCATATATGTGAAGCGCAATTCGCTGTGAATGAACAGATAAACGATAATTCAATATAATCGAGTGTCTATTCACGAATTTTGCTCATCCATGTCAGAGTATATACTCACAAAATAATCATCGCTCATAATTTAATTTAAATCTTGGTCCAAATACCATTTACCTCAATTCTCACGCATATTTAATTTTGTTTATGCAAAATCTTCCAAGTTTCGAGAGTTTCTAAATAAATTTTTTAGAATTTAGTAAAATTCATTTTTTTTACATCGAGAGGGAATATAATATTTTTATAAATAGTAAAATTTTTTGCTAAAATTCAATTATTTTTAAATAAAATTTCCCGAAAAAATACAATTATTTTCTAAAATTTTTAAAAATCCTTCGAAACAAAACAATTCAATAATTTTTTTTAATAGTAAAAATATTGGCAAAAATTCAATTCTTTTCAAAAAAATTTCACGAAAGAATTCAATTTTTTCTTAATTCGTTATAAAATATTTCGAAAAAATTCAATTATTTTCGAAAATTTTAATAAATCCTTCGAAACAATTCAATTATTTTTTTAAATAGTAAAATCTCTGCAAAAATTCAATCATTTTCAAAAAAAAATTTCACAAAAGAATTCATTTATTTTCTAAAATTTTAATAAAATTCAATAATTAAATGTTCAATTTCAATTAATTATCAAACACGACTATTTTAAAGACTTGAAAGAAATTGTTCATAAAATTCAATTATTTTCAAACTTTTTTTAATTAAAATTATTAAAAAAACTCCATTATTTAAAAAAAAAATTCAAAGAATTTCTTCAAAAAGAATTTAATACGAATTTTCAAAAATTTTAACAAAATTCTCGGCGAGAATTCAATTATTTTCTTAAATAATAAAATTTTTTTAAGGAATAACTTTATTATCAAATTTTTTGATAAAATTCTTTTGCAACAATTCGATGATTATCAATACATTAATTTTAAAAATTGAAAATATTTAAAAAGAAAAATTATTAAAAAAGATGGGAAACAAAAAAGCAAACTGCAAACAGTTTACCAGAATACAACGATTATTTATTAATAGTTATAGATTTTATTTTACAATTTGGAGATCAAAAATGCAACAAAGTGGAATTTTGATATAAAAAATACTAAAACTTAAAAAAAGAACTTATTTGCAAAATTTAGTGTAATTATAATCAAATATCAAGAATATGAGGATTAAATTTTAATATTTCTACTAAATTTCACATAAGTTTTTTTAAATTTTAGTATTTTTTATACCAAAATTTTCCTTTGTTGCATTTTTTCTCCAAATTGTAAAATACTTTTACGAAATTTAATATATATTCTCTCTCTCCGTTTATGTATAAACATAAATTGAGAAATATGTAAAAAAAGCTTGAATTTTTAAATTGTAATCGATTACTTCTACAAAATTTAATATATATTCTCTCTCCGTTTATGTATAAAAATAGAGAAATATAAAAAATAGCGTGAATTTGTAAATTGTAATCGAATTCTAAATCGAATTTTATATTCCGAAACGAAGTTGATTTCGTTTTTGAATTTAAAATTCGATTTTGTTATTAAAGCTCACAACATTAAAGAATACTTTTAATTTTCTTAAGAAAGTATTTAACCGAATATTTGTTGAAAATGACAATTGTAAATAAAATTCTATTCTTTGCATTAAAAAAAACTATAAAATTTTTTCTCTTTTCCAGAAATAGGTCCATAGATATTCAATTAAGAGGAAATGTCGAAGGAACAAAGGAGTAAAAGGAAATTTTTAATAAAGGAAAAAATGGAAGTATGCCAGAATTGAATTTCGTGTGACAAAGGAGCAAAAGGGAAATATTTCTAAGTTAAAAAATAAAAGGAACGTTATCACCTCATTTTCGGAAATTGAAGTAAGTCAACTTTATTTTTATGAATAATAAGTAAGAGAATTTTTCTAAAATAGAAGATAAATAATATTTTGTAATTACAGGCATCACAGTAATTTTTTACTCTCAAAAAAAATTCTTCTGAGGAATTCAATTATTTTTTAAGCAATTTTAATAAAATTTCTTGATAGAATTTTAATTTTCCTTGAAACGAGAAAATTATTTACAACAATTTTAATTGCATTTTTTGGCAAAAATACATTTATTTTTATAAATAGGTATTAATGTTTATTATTTTTAAAAATTTTTAATAAAATTTCACAGAAAAATTTTGAATTCAATATTTTGAAATAATTCAATTATTTTTATAAATAGTAAAATTCGTTACAACAATTAAATTATTTGTGATAAATAAAATTCTTCTCGTGAATTCAATTGTTTTTAATACAATTTCAATAACATTTATGATGAATTTTATTTAATTAAATTTATTAAATTGAAATTTTATATTATTAATAAAATTTTATGGAAGAACGAACATTAATTTTCAAGAACATAGAAAAACATTTTTAATGTTAGTTGATAATGTTCCTTTTGCGAAAATTAATATTTTTTTCTAGAAAATAATATTAATGCTATTTTAATTATTTAAATGTTAATTAATCATTTTTCTAGACATCTTTATTTTTGATTAGAAAAAGTTGAAAAAAGGGAAAAATCACTAAAAAAAAAGGTGAAAAAGTTGACAAATCATCAAAAAGGTGTCAAAATTTAAGAAAAAGGGACTACCTGTGATGCCTGAAATTGTAATAATTGCATTAATTAAATTAATTAACATGTTCGATTAATTGAATCAAGAGAATTTTTTTCTTTGATTTCGTTTTAAAATTTACAAACTGGAATCTATTTGATTTCTTCAAATTTTAATATTTTTTTATAAAGAAATCTCTTATCTCAGCTTTGTTATTTTTTTCTGAAATCTCAATTGAGATTAATGACAAATCAATTGTTAATCTCCTTTTCATCTATTTCTGATGTTCAATCCATCTCTTCGTGGAGAATTTAATTACAAAAGGCAGAGAGTGGAAAAAAAACCAAAAATCTTGGAATAAAAAGGAAAAGAAGATTTCTTTCAAAAGTATTATTCAATTCAATTGAGATTTGAGAAAGGATCACAAAAGGGAAATGAAAGTTTTTCTTTGTTTCTAACTTAAACATTTTTTTCCGGATTTTTTTAATTATGTTTTAGCTTATTTTAACTTTTAAATACATTATTATTATTATTATTAGTTAGAATTTTGTTTATTTTAGTTATTTGTTTACTTTTTCATTTTTAATTCAAATTAAAAAAGTAAATGAAAAACTGATTTGAATAAAAATTATTTAGTTACACGGGCAAAAGATTTTTTCTTATTTCTAAAAACAATTAAATTCATATTAAAAAATTCGGTGATAAAATAACTTTCCTAATTTTTTAGGATTAACTAATTAGTTTTTTTAAATTAATTTTTAAAATTAATTCAAAAGAGATTTGAAAAACTGTTTCATTTTTCAGAAATAATATTGAATTTCACAAAGGGTTTCAAATCTAAAAAACTTCTTTAGATTTAGTTTCTAAAATTTTTTGTTAAGAAAATAATAATTATTTATTTGAAAACTTATTCAATTCTTAAATAATTTTATTTAAAATTCTTAAAAAATTAGGTTCTTATAAGAAATTTCAATATAATATTACTTTACACGGAGAGAGAATAATAATATACATTAAATTTTGTAAAAATAGTTTAAAAATTTTGGGGAAAAAATGCGACAAAGCGAAATGTTGATATAAAAAATACTGAACTTTAAAAAACTTTTTATGAAATTTATAATTATGTCAAATATCAAGAATATTAGGATTGAATTTTAATATTTCTACTAAATTTTACACAAGCTTTTTTAAATTTTAGTATTTTTTTTATACCAAAATTTTGCTTTGTTGCATTTTTTCTCAAAATTGTAAAATACTTTTACTATAAATTTAATTTATATTCTCTTACCGTGTAAAATGGATTAGAGAAAAAAATCGAAATTCTATTTGAAAATCAGGGAAAAGCAAAATCAAATTTTTATATAAAATTTAAACTTTTATAAAATTTTTAAATAAAAGAGATGGAAAAATTTAAAAAGCAATTTTAAATTTAAATTTCAACTGAAACTCTGAAATACTGAAAGTAATAATAAATTGATCTATAATTTATAATTTAATTGGAATCGACGAAAAATAGATTATCAAAGAATGTCCAATTCTAATTAAATTTGTAATTGGGACGTTTTATTAATTTCCGCTTGAAGTCAAGAGTCAATATTAGAAACACATTTTAATTAATAGATTTGTTAAAAAATGTTCGTCTTTTAGAGGCGAATGTTAAATTTTATTGGAGAATTAAGATAAATATAAAACAGTGGTAATAATTTTTAAAATAAAAAAAATACAGAATATTTCAAAAAAGGAAAAATATATATTATTTAATAAAAATTATTTATTTGGAGAGATTTAGAGAGAAAATTTTTGAATATTAAAAGAAATTTTCAAATTGCTACAACGAATAAAATTAGAAACAGAAATAGTTCAATAATTTGTTTTTCTTTCTTTTATTATACACAAATGAATAAACTTCGAACTAGACTTCGACGCACGTAGAGGCACGATTGAAAATGAATTTACCGACTGTTTTTGTTGTCTTTTAAAACATAAACAAACCATAAAGAAGAATTTTTCTTTAAAAAATATAATGAAAGCTATTGAAATGGACATTATTTTTCCATTTATTAACAAGAATATAGTAAAATGAAGACATTTTTTAAAAATTTAGTTTGTAAATTGAAAGAAATGAAAATGTAGAAAATGTAATTTTTAAAATTAGTTTCTAAAATTTTAATAATAAATTTCCATTTCACTTTTAATACTTATTTGCAATTATTGTTAATTTTTGTGAATCGATTTAAAATAAGAAAATAATTTAAATTACCAACTTTGGTCAAAGTTTTAGTATAAACAATACTCGGAAATTTGAATTTTTCGGAAAAAAAAACTTTTTTTCTGTGACAATTTCAATTGTACGTTAAAAAAATAATTAATGTAATTATTTTTAAAAGGAATTTTAACGTCTAGAATACAATTAATAGCCCCGCCCTGGTGACGCTTCATAACTTTCTGACTGCAAGTCTGTCATGAAACTGTAGATGGTCACCGCGACTATAAAAAACGTCAGGTTTTGTTATTTAAGAAACAACTCACCTGTTTGAAAATATATTCCCAATATTGTGAGTAGTGCGTAATTCTTGATGGCGCTCATGTTTTCGTTTTGGCAATAAAATTTTATTGAAAAAGGTTATTTTAATTGACTATAGGGGAATGAAAGACCACCTGAATAGTTTTGAACCAAACACCTGTTCACCTGTTTTTATTGAGTTCAATGAGGGAAACGTGCAAGTCGACGGTGCAAGAACGACTGGAGAATACCGGGCTCGTGCGATGCCAAATGACTTCAGAGCGAACGTTCTTTCGTAGAGGGGGATATAATATATTATGTGGCTTTTCATTCAATTATTCGAATATTAAATACACTGGGGGTCAGATCATTTTTAATTATTATCGTAAAACTCATGTTTCTCATGGAGTTTAATTCTTAATAAATTCGGAGATTTAATTCCTGGGATTTTTACACTTATTTTGATTTTAATTATGGTTTTGATTTTTCTTTTTGTTAAAAATTAAAGTTTCTTTCATTCATTTACGATCTTAAAATTCTGATCATTCAAATGAACGATAAGTTTAATTATTTCGTTGATTGGAATGTTCAAAATTTGTGGATATAGTTCATTCTTCTTTTCTCGATGGTACCAGAAAGGAATTTTTAAATTATTTGTTTAATTTCTTTTTTCTTGATGGTAATTAGCAGAATTTTTTTAAAATAATAAACTGCAAGATAGAGAATTTAAGTAGAAAAATAAATCCTGAGATGCGACATCAGAAATAGATGAAAAATAAAACAAATTTTAATTATCCTGTAACAAAAGAAGTGACTGTTGTATTTTTTGATAATGATGTTGAATCACCAATAGAAAGAGATTTGCATATTTTTAAGAATTCTTTTTCCAACACAATTAAAAAAAAAAAAAAAAAAAACTTTAAGTTTTATAAAATAATTCTTTTACGCTTTCTAGGAAAAATTACATTGACGAGAAAAATAAATTTTCATTGCCATTAACAGGCTTCGTACTCGATAATTAATTTTGAAAAAGTAGCTTAAAGACAAAAAAAAGTAGCTATCAAAAAATTAAATTCAAAAATAAAATAATTTTTTTAAATAAATATTTAAATACCTATTTATTTTGTCTACAGGAATAAAAATATTTCAATTCTTTTTAATGTAACGCATTTTTGAAATTGAACTATTTTTAAAAATTACAAAAGTAATTCTTCCAAAATTCAATCATTTTTCAATTCATTTTTCTTGAAATTTATAAAAAAAATTATTCAAAATTTTAATCATTTTATTTTATTCAATTCTAAATCAATTCTTATTAGAAAGTTCTACGAGAATGAAATTATCTAAATAATACCAAAATAATTTATCTGAATAATTGAATATTTCTTAAGTTTTAATTCTTATAAAGAACTTTATCAACATTTTTTAAAATAATTGAATTTTTACGAAGAATTAGATTCAAATTTTTGATAATAATTAAATTCATTCAAGAAATGTAATTTAAAAAAAATTGAAAATTATTATTACACTTTAAGAAATAAATTATATCAAATTTTTTTAAATAATTAAATTTTTTCGAAGAATTTTATTCAAATTTTTAAGAATAATTGCATTTTTAGCAAAATTAATTTAAAATTATATTGAAAATAATTGAAATCCTGCATTAAGTTTCATTATTTATAAAAATAATTGAATTTTTGTCACTGAACTTTAATACAGTTTTTAAAATAATTGCATTCTTGAGAAGAATTTATAAAAAAAACTTTTTAAAGAAATGATTTTTTTGCCAGAAATTTTATAAAAATTGTGTTTTAAATAATTGAATTTCTTTGAAAATTGTATATATTATTTATGAAAATATAATTGGATTCTTTCAAAAAATGTTATTAAAATAATGTTGAATACAATTGAATTATTATAAAGAATTTCATTAAATTTTTTTAAATAATTGAATTCTTTCGACAATTTTTAATAAAAATTTTTAAGAATAATTACATTTTTCGAAGAATTTACTTAAAATCGTATTAAAAATAATTGAAATCCTGTTAAGAATTTTATTAATTAGGAAAATAATTGAAGTGACGCAATGAATTTGTATTCAATTTTTTAAAAAATAATTGAAATCCTGTAAAGAATATTATTATTTATGAAAATAATTAAAAGTTTGCAACGAATTTTATTACATTTCTTTCAAATAATTGAATTCCTCCGAGGAATTTTATTATTTATGAAAATAATTGAATTCTTTTGAGGAATTTTATTAAATAGTAGATTTTGATAATGTTTAAATTTCAGCAAAGAGTTTAATTATTTGTGAATTGAATTTTTGTAAAAAATTGTCGAAAATAATTATATTTTTCAAGGAATATATTTAAAATTGTATTAAGAATAATTGAAATCCAGCGATGAGTTTAAATATTTATAAAAATAATTGAATTCTTGCAACGATTATAATTAAAATTTCAAAAAAATAATTGAATTCCTGAGAAGAATTTTATTATTTATAAAAATAATTGAATTCTTGCGAAGAATTTTGTAAACATTTTTTTAAATTTATTCAATTCTTTTGGGAAATTTTTTATTAAAATAGTAGATATTAAATAGGCTTAAAAATTTTGGTTTTAAAACTCAATAACGAAATTTTAGTTTTTCCTCAATGTTCAGAAAATCTGATTGCTTGTTTCTCTTTTCGATAATGAAATTTATTCCAATTCAAAGTGAATTTCCCGATGTGAGATCAAATAAAATACTTTTGAGGACTGAAAGTAAATACATTTCGGATGAAGTAAATTTTACTAAAAAATAACAAGCTGAAACTTTTTTTTGCGACCTGAATCGTTAGAGAAATAAAACCAGCATGAGAAATAAAAGATTAAAAATCATTAATAATTAATAATAAAGCTTTTATTTTCTAAAAATTAACAAACAAGTTCTAAAATTAATTATCGGTTCTTCTAATAATAGATCAAGTCAGAATTATTTGATACACTGAACACAATAATATAATATATACATATAGGTTTTATCAAAAACAATAGTAAATTATTACAAATATCACTTTCACAAAATTTAACAATACTTCGTAACTAATTGAAATGAAAGACATTTTTTGTTAAAATATAAATTAATAACATAAATAATTCGCAGTTATTATGTTAATAAATAATCTATCGTAATAAATATCTTTGAAACAATAGTAGATGATTTTAAACATTTTCTTCTATTCGCAATTGTTTTATATAAGCTTGCCAAAATGCTATATATGTAAATTTTTCTAAAATACACCAAAACGAAAAAGGAAGCATGAATATAGGAGAAAATTATTATTTTGAATATTAGACAGAAGTTTCTGTCAAATCAAACAATTTTTATTTAGTAAAAATTTTACTTAGTATGATGATCATTATCAGACATTTAATATTGCTTTGTATATTTTTTCCACAGAGATATAAGAATAGAGGACGCGTGAGAGTTCTGTTAATTAAACAGAAGATGGTTCTATACAAAAACCAACTATTTTCATACTAGATCATGAATAATATCGAAAAGTGTTTAAATCTTAAACTCCATCCGTAAACCTTGTTAATTGTGTTCAACAAGTTCTACTAAATTTCTTTGTTGCTTCTATTATAAAATTAATTTTTTTTTGACTCTGTCTATCGTTCCGATGCTTCCACCCATTCGTACAGACTCACCTCCTCTATTTTTATATTTCAAACTAAAAAATTTTATTCAATATTCATGCGTCCTAAAAAAAATTATAAAATTCATCTGTGACATAATATTTTGAAGAATTTAATGATTATTTAAGTTATATTTTAATAGTGTAAATTTCCTTCCGAATTATTTAAGTTTTTTTTTGTCATGGTCACAAATGAAAGGAAATAAAAATTCTAGAAATTTAATTAGTATTATCACTAGAAATTTGATTAACGATAGATTCGCAGTTTTCAGTTTTCTTGCGATTTTTCATCTTCATTTTATTGGAAGACTTCTTTGACTTTTGTTCAACTTTCAAAAATTGCTTCTTCCCCTTCACATAAGTTGCATTCGATTTTTGCTTATTGACGCAAATTGATCTTGTAGATGTTGCTTTAATGATTTTTTGATCAGGGAAAGTTTCATCTGACGCTGATTCGCCAATTTCAGGACGAGTTTTTATTATTTTCGGTCCTGAGACTTTTAATCTTTTTGTGCCTTGCTTAACAATTGTCGTTATTTCCATATTTGCGTTTTGCTTTTGTATTGTTGTTATTTTATTTTTGATAACTGACCGACGTTTCTTGGCTTGTACCATTAGGGTGCATTTATTATCATCGAGACAATTGTTTGTCTCCATACGATAGTCGAGAGTCTTTTGGAATTTTTTCTTTTTCAATTGATTTTTGTTGTGGATTTTTGAAATTAGGGACGTACTTTGAATAGTTGATTTTAAATTTGATGAATTTGGTGCTTTTACCAATTTACGATTTATAATCTGTCGGGGCTTTTTGTTGGTTTTTATTTTCTTTATTGCGGTGTATAGTGATGTTGTTCTTCGAACGATACAAGGTTTTTTTATGAGATTAATTTCAGTTTTTGTTGAATTCTCAATTGATGTTGAACTCACAACTACTGTCATTTCAATTTCCTCCTCTGGTTTATTCTCCTGTTTACTACTGACACTTCCACTGTTCTCCTGTGGATCAAAGGAACTTGTAAACTTTTCATAGGATGACATTTTATACATCATTTACAGTTATAGAAGTATATAGTTTTAGAATGATCGATCGATCGCTAAAATTTCGTTTCTAGAGAAAAAAAAACAGAATACATTTTCATGAGAGAGAGAGATTAAATGTGTTAGCAATTTAAAAAAAAGAGTACTTACTTTAAAAATAGAAATCTGAAAATTGACTTTATAGATTTATTTTTTAGGAATGGGTTTTGAAAGGATATACCGGATTTGAGTAATTTAGTTCATAGTTCTTAATTTGAAAAAGTGCAGAGAAAATATCAACCGGGAAATGCAGGAAGAAAATAAAAGCAAAGCAAATAAATATATTTTTGTGAAAAAGAATTTTAATTTATTAACAATATTATTGAACACGTTATTAACTGGCTGTGTACATTGTGTTTTAAATTTTAAATATTTTTCTATAGGTATATTATTTTGTTTAAAATTTTTATTATCAATTATTGTTAATATCCATTAGTTATATTTAGATTAACGATATAAATTCGTAATTTGATTAGAAATTTACAGCTATTTATTTATAACAATAATTTAAACATTTAAAATATTCGGTACAGTTAATGATTCGAAAAAATTGAGTTTTCCTTTTCTTACTAACCATTAAAAGTTTAATATATCAAACTTCAATTTTCACGACGACAATTCCTATAGATGATCTCATCACCTTCATCCAATGATTTCACTGATCGATCGCTTAAATTACCAAGTACCTTTCGCTAGAGAAAGACATTATTAGACACATCAAATTTCAATTACTCTTCTTCACAACCATGATAAATTGAATACTTTTTTTTTTTGCAAATCAATAGTCTGAGTTTAATGATCATAATTACTTTTTCATACTTAATGTTGTCTAAAATTAAAGTCGAGACTTATTAAATATTTAGATTCTATTTTCAATTTAAAATAAGTGAATTAATTAGACAACAATGATTTAAGATATTTAATACACATTTCTTTTTTTCTAACTTTAATATTTAATTAACCAGTGATAATGTTCTGTTCATTATAAATGAAAAGAATTTCTCACTGAAAATGGTAGAAATTTATTTTTCTCCGAAAAAGTAAATTGAAAAAGTAAATTATAGTTAAAAATTATCTTTTTACATCTTGACAATTTTTAACTTGTAGTTTTTTTTCTGAAAAACATTTAGTAATGAATGTGAATGAAGATGAAATTGATAGATGTGTAGAAAAACTTTGAGAATTTTTAAGCAAAAAACTATCAGTACATTAAAAAATGTAAAAGAAATTTTTTTTCTTTGTAAAAAACGTACAAAATTAAATTTATAAAAAATATATTTCTTCTGGAATAATAAAAGTATAATCGATTACTATAAAATTAAGGAGCAGTAAAAGCGGTGGCTGAATATTCCCTAAAAGTTAGATCGAAAAAAAAGATAGACTAAAAGTGGAAGTTTTAAAATTATGGAATTAAATTAAAAATAATTATTTACATATTCAATCACCAGTAAAAAAGAAAAGTTACTGTCACAAAGTCTTTTTTTTTTTTTGTCAGTTCAAAAATATTTTTTTGGAAGTATCATGTGCTATGAAACGAATCTGTGTAGTAATGAATAATTAATTTCAAACGATCCAATTGCTCGATTGAGAAATTAATTTAATTAATTAGCTATAGTCGAGTCTTGTTAATAAAAAGCTATATACAAATTTATATATATAAAAATCAAGTCTGAAATTTTGCAAAAGGCACATTGCACATGAAAGTTAAAACTGCACTGGAAATACTGTCGATGAGTTTCCTTAAGATCTACAAATATTATTTTTTTATTGATACATTTTTTTTTAAGGCAAGTACGTAAGACAGAATTCATTGCCATTATTTTCGTGTCGAGAAGGCAATTATTGTCAGGCGAAATCTCTCTCTCACATTTATTTTTTTTTTTTTGTCTTTAATCAACGTATTTGTGATTGTTTAGACTAGTTAGTTAACTAGTGATTTTAAGTATATTTTAACTAGTAGCCAGTATAGTAACTAGTTTTAATCTCCATGTTTAGAGATGAATGAAACGCAAAGTTTTGTTTTTTAGGAAAGTATTTTTTTTTCTATTAAAACATTTGCGTATTTCACTCGTGGTGTTTTCAAGCAAAAGCGTATTGCATTTTTTTTAGGCAGTATTTTAAGCATTTTTCAGTCAACAAACAGCGCACTGTGTAATGTCCGAATTCATGACTTCATGTTCATTATTTTTATTGAAATTTACCTTGTGAAGTGGCTTGTGCAATGGGGCGGTACAATTGTTGGCGTATGTTAATTTTAAATAGGACTTTAAACCCCTCAGCGAATGATATTGACTGTTTGATAAACGACTATTGGGATTGCTGCCAGTTAGATCCAAAATTGAGGGTCCTAACGCTGCTCCCACCTGAAAATTCATGGAACGATAAAAATTTCGAATTGATTGTCAAATGGAGGCATTTATTAAAAATCGTAATTCGACTTATAAATTAAAGAGGATCATCTATGATCATCATAGATGATCCTCTTTAATTTATAAGTCGAATTACGATTTTCCGAATTTGATAATTCCTTACTTCTTCATAAACCGCTGGAGTATACTTTGGAGGAACGTAAATTGGCGTTTGAATTTTGCTCATGTTATCGCGCACTCGCGGTGGCAATGCATTAATTAATCGACCCGAATTGTAATTACACTCGAGAGTGTAACTTCGAATCAAACCCGTTAATTTATAAACTGCCACTCGACCCGATCCTTCTCTTGACATTCCATCCCTTTTGTCTCTGCAAAATTCCAGACAATTAGTTTCTGATTTTCAATTAGCTCATCATTTGTAAATTAAGAATAGAATTTGAGGGCAAAATGTTAAATGGTTTTTGTTCTTTTAACTTACATTAGATACATATTTCTTTCGGCGAAATTGCATGAAGTAAAATGAAAATTTGGATTATTGAGGGACATTAATTTTGGTAGCAGTAAACAAGTGATTGATTCGTCAGAATCATCGAAATAATTTCCATACATGAAGATTCCCTTTTTAGAAGCATGACCATGTAAATCGACATAAAGAAATATACCAGATTCTTCTGTTTCTTTAGGCTGTTTTGCTAATTTTCTTTTATTGTCTGCTGTCTCTGGTCTTCGTCTTTCTTCTACATCTTTGGATTTTACTGAAAATGGAGTTAGTAAGATTTTAGAATTCATTTCAAAATGGTACTTACCTTTTTTTAAAGGTACTTACGTACTTTTAAAAAATGATTCTTTGGTACTTACCTCGTAGAATGTTTTCCTTAGCTTTATGGCATTTGTCGTAAGTCAGATCACTTTTGCTTTTCTCTTCCAGGGACATCAATGTGACCTGTAGATTTGTGTTTCATTAGAGTTTGGATATTTGTTGTGAAAAAAGAGATTAGAAAATGGATGAATTAGTTACTTGTTCGAGTAGATGATTAGTTGTATCTCTAACTACGTTAGTTACACTTTCCGGAATTATTAAGTTGCTATCGCGATTCTCTTCCAAACTTACGTGAGATTTTTCGATTTTAATATCAGTCTCTTCTGGCAGCTTGTAGAAATTATGATAATACCTAAATGACATTAAATTAAATAATTAACTTCTTTCACAATTAATAAATAATTAACTGATAGCAACTATTAACTATAATATAGTAATTCACTATTCAGTGTATAATCACTGAAACATTTCTTTCGAGTTTGATTAAAGAAATGAAAAATCAGCGAACCTAATTAACGTTCTGGCAGCAAATATAGTTGGATGATCACTTTCAGAAGGATTCAAGTACACTCGGTTTAGATTAACCCCCTTGGTGTCCATTCGGTAGTGACCTTTTGCAACTCCATCGGGATTTAGCATTGGAATTAGTTTGAACACGTAGAGTCGACGTAAAGTTATTGCTATTGGATCCTCTCGATTGAGTAGAAGATTCAGAAGACCGTTTAGGACGAAACTCGAAGGCGTTTCGCCGGGATGTACTCGGGCACTTATAAAAATGACCTGAATTGATGAATTAAAAACACTTTAGAGTTTGATTTTTGCAGTACAGACGCAGTATTTTTTTTTGTATAGAATTGTAGACCTTTTCTTCATAAATAATAAAGATAAATAAATAGTAAATAGGAAATATATAGAGAATATCTCGTTGCTTTAAATTAACCTTTTTGTTCTTGAATTTGAATGGTCTCAACTCGTTATTTTCCGGGAATAAATTCATCAGACTGTCCTCTCTCTCCATTGATATGTTTTGATACGAACTTATGGTTAATAATTCAAGTCTACGGCCCTCTAACGATTTGATGACACATTCCCTGTGATAGTAAATATCGTCCACGGAATTAATGGTCCTTCTGGCCAATCTTGACTGTATTTTTTTCAATTGCGTTTGTAAATCGTTATACGTGAAGGGATACGTAAAGGCGAAGTATGTTATGGCTTTGAGATTATCTGGAGTTCGGTAGGTGAACGATAGAGTGAATTCGTTACTTTTTTCGTCCAACTGCAATAAGGATAGTGGAATTTTATTTCTTTTTGCTGTTTGCTATTTCTCTTTATACTAATCGACAAGAAAGTAAAGCTAATTAGTTGTGGAGAATGGTACAAATTTTAGAAGTATATTTACCGCATAGATCGGCTTATCTCGAATCCGTTCCCATTGAGGATGTCCTGGCAGAACTTTGTAGACAGGGCACATGCCTTGGCTAAACATTTTTACCTGCTTATTGAGATTAATGACATTAAGTCGAACAAGTGCTCCTGATTTAGGAGCCTTGACACCAAAATAGAACCAGGTTCGGTTACTATTTTCATATTCTGTTCCATGACAATCGTGCTTTGTCCATAAATTGAATTCGTAGTCGAGATTTTCCTCGACATGTCCGTTTTTAGCCGATTTAGTGTCATTTTCATTTTCTCCTGCAATCAATCAACTTCTTGTCAGTTGTAACTAAATTTTTTGCAACTTATAGTTAATTGTTGTCTGCGTGTCGCACTAAATGAATTATTACTAGAGGCAGGAACTTTATGCTTTTTTTATGCATAGCCTGCATTTGCAGGCTTTGCACTTATCTACTAAAAACTACTATTTACTACTATTTTTAGAGCTGTGCAAAATAATTCGAACCGAACTGTTCGAATTTTTTTGCCTAGTTCGAATGTCATTTCGGCGCCCCAAAACCGAACAAAAATTCGGTTCGATTCGAATTTTGCACAGCTCTAGCGGAGACTATTAAATAATTAAAGTGTTTTTGAAGAGCCCAAAAATAATGAAGCTAAATCCCATAAAAGAGAGGAAAAAATGTTGAATTTTAAGAAATTCGGTTTTTTAAATTTTTGATAATTTTTAATAAATTTAAATTTTTTACCAAAGCTTAGAGATTATAAAGTAAACAAAGTGTTTTTGAAGAGCACAAAAATAATGAAGCTACATCCCATAAAAGAGAGGAAAAAATGTTGAATTTTAAGAAATTCGGATTTTTGAATTTTTGATAATTTTCGATAATTTTAGATTTTTTACCAAAGAGTCGAGTCTATTAAAAAAGTAAAGTATTTTCCAAGAGCACAAAAATAATGAAGCCAAATGCCATAAAATAGAAGAAAAAATGTTGAATTTTAAGAAATTCGGATTTTTGAATTTTTTCGAATTTTTGATAATTTTAGATTTTTTACCAAAGAGTCGAGACTTTTAAAAAAGTAAAGTATTTTTCAAGAGCACAAAAATAATGAAGCTAAATCCCATGAAAAAGAAGAAAAAATGTTGAATTTTAAGAAATTCGAATTTTTGATAATTTTAGATAATTTTAGATTTTTTACCAAAGAGTCGAGACTATTTAATAAGTAAAGTATTTTCCAAAAGCACAAAAATAATGAAGCCAAATGCCATAAAAAAGAAGAAAAAATGTTGAATTTTAAGAAATTCGGATTTTTGAATTTTTGATAATTTTCGATAATTTTAGATTTTTTACCAAAGAGTCGAGTCTATTAAAAAAGTAAAGTATTTTCCAAGAGCACAAAAATAATGAAGCCAAATGCCATAAAATAGAAGAAAAAATGTTGAATTTTAAGAAATTCGGATTTTTGAATTTTTTCGAATTTTTGATAATTTTAGATTTTTTACCAAAGAGTCGAGACTTTTAAAAAAGTAAAGTATTTTTCAACAGCACAAAAATAATGAAGCTAAATCCCATGAAAAAGAAGAAAAAATGTTGAATTTTAAGAAATTCGAATTTTTGATAATTTTAGATAATTTTAGATTTTTTACCAAAGAGTCGAGACTATTTAATAAGTAAAGTATTTTCCAAAAGCACAAAAATAATGAAGCCAAATGCCATAAAAAAGAAGAAAAAATGTTGAATTTTAAGAAATTCGGATTTTTGAATTTTTGATAATTTTCGATAATTTTAGATTTTTTACCAAAGAGTCGAGTCTATTAAAAAAGTAAAGTATTTTCCAAGAGCACAAAAATAATGAAGCCAAATGCCATAAAATAGAAGAAAAAATGTTGAATTTTAAGAAATTCGGATTTTTGAATTTTTTCGAATTTTTGATAATTTTAGATTTTTTACCAAAGAGTCGAGACTTTTAAAAAAGTAAAGTATTTTTCAAGAGCACAAAAATAATGAAGCTAAATCCCATGAAAAAGAAGAAAAAATGTTGAATTTTAAGAAATTCGAATTTTTGAATTTTTGATAATTTTAGATAATTTTAGATTTTTTACCAAAGAGTCGAGACTATTTAATAAGTAAAGTATTTTCCAAAAGCACAAAAATAATGAAGCCAAATGCCATAAAAAAGAAGAAAAAATGTTGAATTTTAAGAAATTCGGATTTTTGAATTTTTGATAATTTTCGATAATTTTAGATTTTTTACCAAAGAGTGGAGACTATTAAAAAACTAAAGTACTTTCCAAGAGCACAAAAATAATAAAGCTAAATCCCATAAAAGAGAGGAAAAAATGTTGAATTTTAAGAAATTCGGATTTTTGAATTTTTTCGAATTTTTGATAATTTTAGATTTTTTACCAAAGAGTCGAGACAATTTAATAAGTAAAGTATTTTCCAAAAGCACAAAAATAATGAAGCTAAATCCCATAAAAGAGAAGAGAAAATGTTAAATTTTAAGAAAATCGGATTTTTGAATTTTTTCGAATTTTTTTATAATTTTAGATTTTTTACCAAAGAGTCGAGACAATTTAATAAGTAAAGTATTTTCCAAGAGCACAAAAATATTGAAGCTAAATCCCATAAAAGAGAGGAAAAAATGTTGAATTTTAAGAAAATCGGATTTTTGAATTTTTGATAATTTTCGATAATTTTAGATTTTTTACCAAAGGGTGGAGACTATTAAATAAGTAAAGTGTTTTTGAAGAGTCCAAAAATTATGAAGCTAAATACCATAAAAAAGAATAAAAAATGTTAAATTTTAAGAAATTCGGTTTTTCTTAAAAAAAATTCACAAAAATTTTAGAATTTTTCACAGGAATTCAATTATTTTCAAATATTATTTTAATAAAATTATTCGAAATAAATAAATTATTTTAAATACAATTTAAATTAAATTTTTTTTTGAAATAATTCAATTATTCTATTAGAATATAATGAAATTCTTCCCAAGAATTCAATTATTTTTGAAAATTTTAATAAAATTCTTAGCAACTATTCAATGATTTCCATAAATAATAAAATTCATTGAAGGATTTGAATTATTTTTAATACAATTTTGCAGGAATTGTTCAAAAAATTTAATTATTTTTAATAAATTATTTAAATAGATACTGTTTTTTTTAAAATTCTTTGTAAAAATTCAATTATTTACAAAAATATTAGAATTTTTCACAGGAATTCAATTATTTTCAAATATTTTAATAAAATTGTTCGAAAAAAATCAATTATTTTAATTATAATTTTAATTAAACTTTTTTGAAATAATTTAATTGTTTGGAGGCATTTTAATAAAATTCTTTGCAAAATTCAATTATTTGAAAGCTCCTTTTTGCTGCTGTTTATAATTAATTATCGAGTGCGAAGTTTACATTTGCAAAATTTGGTTTTTCATTCAATGTTTAGAAAAAATGTACTTTAGTTTTAAAAATGAATTTACAATTAGAAACTTTATTTTTGCTTACTGTTGCAGTATCCCTAATATTACAAAAATGCACCTTCTATCATTAAGTTTGTTGGTTTAATTTTTTAGAAGCTAATTGTAATTTTTTATTTACTAATGCTTACGGAATTGACTATTTTTTTAAAAATAAAATATTTAAAGATAAATACAAAATTGTACCTCGACTTAACAAATCATACTGCATTTGCGTGCTCTAACAATAATTATAAAATTTGAATTATACATCATGTATGCTGCTTTACAACCAAAAATTATGCTTTTTAATGCTTTCGCAAAGTGCAATAATTCAAAAAAAAACTTTTTAATGTGAATTTTAGCACTAGACAATAATTTTTAAAATTTAGCCATTTATCTCAAGCATAAAGTTCCTATTTCTAATTAACTACTAAAAAGAGATGAAATCAAAGAATCAAAAGCAAAAAATTACCATTGTCGTTTGCTGCATTGACATCAACTTGTATAACTTTTGCTAAATTTGCAGAATCGAAATTATTGTAAAACACAAAACCCCCACTGATAAATCCTTCTGTTGTATCGGACATTCTGGGTCAATAAATAATTATTTTGACCTATTGTGACATAATTAGACAAAAACACAATTTGTGATTAGTGTAAATTATCAGTAGGGAGAAGTTGTATGACAAATGTAAATTTAGATATACTTGATTTTGAGTCCTTGGCCAGAGATCATATGATTTCTATTTACATTCTTTTTACGGAAGCTAATGACCTATAGAGAATAAAATGCCTCTAACCTTCAAACAGAGAGAAATTCCCTTTTTTCAAATATTTCCATAAGCAACGAATTGGAAAATAGCATTATTCGTGATGGAAAACACTTGTCTTTTGGTTCGAATCAATTTTTTTTAGAGTAACACCATTTTTGTTTATTTAAATATAACTCCATTTTCAATGCAAAATTCTATCATTTTGGACGAGTTCATTTTGTAACAACTTGATATTGAATTTCGTCTGCTATACTTGACCTCATTCAAAATATCAATAATTTAAATTTGTAAACAAATTTTTGTTTTTTTTTTTGGAAAATTTGAAGTTAAAAAATTATTTTTAAAATAAATAATTTTTTTATATTTAAATTAACAATTGTAAATTAACAATATTAAAATATTTGTTATAAATTTTTGGTTAAAAGTAATTATTCTATTTGAAACTAATTTTATTTATTAAAATTTACAATTACGAAAACGATATTTTTACTATTTTTGAAGAAAAATAAAAATAGAATTTTATTTTAAACGTTTTAAACAATTTGTTAAAAATTGTCTTAAGCGATTTGAATTTCCCGCCGTGTGTTGCGCATGATGATCAATAGGAACTGCGCAAGTCAAATGCAGCACTAATTGTGCGCATTCATTTGCTATTTTCTTTCCGAACTAAACAATTTTCGTTGTTTAAAATTATAGTGAAAACAGTTTTTTCTATTTAATGATTAATTGTGATATAAAGTGAAAGAGTTTATCTGGTGAATAAAGTTTATTTAGTTGTTTTTGTTTAGTGCATTTCTCCTCCGCGTGCATCGTCGAACGGGTCGAACATTTTCAGGTGGAATAGTTCTTTCGTTTTATCTCGTGGAAAGAGTTTCCATTTATAGAGACAGTTTTATCGTTTAATTGCACATTATGCCGAAGAATAAGGGTAAGTGTTTCGATTTTCAGTGAAATTATTGTCATTTGCATGTGTTAAGAAGTTAAATTCAATTGGAATTGTCGGTGAATTGGGGAAATTTGTGAAAAATGTGGTTAGTCGGAGAAACTAACCTGTCAATGTCAAACATCATGAACATGACGCGATGTTTTCTTATATTTTTCTCACAAATTTTGTGCTTTGTGGAGAAATAAAAATTGAAATTTTCTTTGTCAATTTTTAGGAAAGGGAGGTAAGAATAGGAGAAGAGGTAAAAATGAGAACGAAACTGAGAAGAGAGAATTGGTCTTCAAAGAGGACGGACAGGGTGAGTGTTTTTTTCGATATTAAAAATTTATTTTATATTTAATAAAAACAAATTTTTCACTCTTGAGCGAATGGCGTGAAAAATCATGTGAAGTTGTGAATTTTTATTTTTTATTTACATGTTAGTGAATTGAAAAGTGATTATTTATGTTTGTTGGAAAATTGCATTTGCCAACTCAGTGCGAATTGAGGTTAATTTATAGTGCAATTTAATGAATTTGCTAGAAAATAAGTAAAAGTTTTTTTTTTATTCTGTTAATCTAAAATTATCGCCATTTATAAATTCATTCGATTGCGAAATTGGTTTGGAAAGCTGTTATTTTGTGTTTTCAAGTTCAAGTTTATCCGTTTTTGTCTGAAATTCAGATAAGGCCATGAAAAAATTATTTTTAAAAATACTTAATAAAATTCTTCGCAGAAATTCAATTATTTTTAAAAAAATTTTAATATTCTCGTCAAAATTTCAATTATCTTTATAAATATGAAATTTCTTCTTTAAAATTCAATTATTTTAAAAAAAATTTTAATATTCTCGTCAAAATTTCAATTATTTTTAGAAATAATAAATTTCTTCTCTAAAATTCAATTATTTTTAAAAAAAATTTTAATATTCTCGTCAAAATTTCAATTATCTTTATAAATATGAAATTTCTTCTCAAAAATTCAATTATCTTTATAAATGATAAAATTTTTCTCCGAAATTCAATTATTTTAAAAAGTTTTAATACAAATTCTTTGCAAAATTTCAATTATTTTCAAAGATTTTCCAAAAGAATTCAATTATTAAAAAAAAAAATTAAATAGAATTCTACGCAAACATTTAATTATTTTCAATAAATAATAAAAATTGCACAGAAATTCAATTATTTACAAATCTCTTTGCAGAAATTCAATTATACTCAAAAATTTGTTTAAATTCTCGACAGAATTTCAATTATCGTTATAACTGATAAAATTTTTCTCCGAAATTCAATTATTTTCAAAAATTTTAATACAAATTCTTTGCAAAATTTCAATTATTTTCAAAGATTTTCCAAAAGAATTCAATTATTTAAAAAAAATTAAATAGAATTCTACGCAAACATTTAATTATTTTCAATAAATAATAAAAATTGCACAGAAATTCAATTACTTACAAATCTCTTCGCAGAAATTCAATTATATTCAAAAATTCATTTAAATTCTCAACAGAATTTCAATTATCTTAATAAATAAAAAAATTTTTCTCCGAAAATCAATTATTTTCAAAAATTTTAATAAAATTATTTGCAAAATTTCAATTATTTTTAATACAATTTTAATCGTATTCCTCGAAAATTGTAATTATTCTTCAAAATTTTATTTAATTTCGACAAAAGAATTCAATTATTTAAAAAATTTTTAATAATGTTCTTTATAAAAATTAAATTTTAAGAAGCATTCAAAATTATTTAATAAATTTATTTTTGTCTTTAAATAATTGAATTCTCCTAAAATTTTCTAATAGAAATTTATTTAAAAATGAATTTTATTTAAAATTTTAGATAATTATTGAATATTAAAAGCATTAAAGCGTGAATTTTTCGAAATAATTGAATTTTGAAAATGTTTCGAATTAAAATCTTTGAAAATTGGAATTTTTTATACTTTTACCTGACAATTCGGTAGAATTAATTTTTTTGAAAAAGATTAATTGAATTTTTTTTTAAATTATTTGGAGTTTTTATTTTCTTAATATATATTTAATTCATTTCCGAAAAATTCTCCTTTTCGGTAAAATTGAATTGTAACAAATGGATTTGAAAATTCTCAACGAACTTTTTCAGAAATAATTAAAAATATTTGATTTAAAGAAGAATTTTAGTTAAAAATTATAGAAAATAATAATTGAATTGAAATAATGAAAATAATTTTGTTAAATTTCAAAAGGATTTGAATTTAAAATTTTTGAAAATCTTAATTTTATAGGAAAAATATTAATGATTAAATTTTGTCTTTGAGAAAATTTAATCTGGGAAAAGTCACGAAAACAAAATTTAATTTTTGTGGCAACCCCGAAATTATATCGGAATATTTTTGCCATTTGGATTTTAATAAAAAAAAACGGGTTTTTTTACTATTTTTTCCATTTTGTTCTAAATTGTTTTTTTTTCAATTTAGAATTTTTTTTTTTTATTTCTCGTTGGAAATCGGCAATTATTTATAGTGTTGAAAACAAAGTGTGAGCGAATATTAATTTAAAATGTCTGAGAAAGCTCGAATGTTGAAAAAAGAAGATTTTTGAAGAAAATTTCCGAGTGTTTGATGTTCCGATTATTGTTGAGGAGGTGAGAGTAAAAATAAAGTTTGAATGTGTATTCAAAAATTGAAATTTTTAAAATTTTGCGTCAAATAGAAAATTTGTCTAATTTGAGAATTGAAATTATTTCAGAATACGCTCAAGTAACGAAAATGTTGGGTAATGGTCGACTTGAGGCAATGTGCTTTGACGGAACAAAACGTCTCTGTCATATTCGGGGGAAACTTCGGAAAAAAGTGTGGATCAATCAAGGTGATATTATTTTGATTGGTCTGCGTGATTATCAAAATGCGAAAGCAGATGTTATTCTCAAATACACAGCAGACGAAGCTCGTAATCTTAAAACATATGGCGAATTCCCTGAAACTGGTAAGAAAATACTTCCTGTCTATTTATTAATTTATTACTGATTTTTTACTTCATTTATTACTATTATTTTTAATTTATTCATTACTTGGAGAAAATTCAAAAAATTTTAATACAATTCTTTAAAACGATTCAATTATTTTCACACATTTTTCCTGATTCATAGGAATTCAATTATTCAATTATTTCATAGGAATTCAATTATTTAAAATATTTTTTTAAAAATATTTTTTGAAAAAAATCAATTATTCAAATAGATTTTTAAAAAATTCTTCGCAAGAATTCAATTATTTTTATAAATAATAAAATTCTTCTCAGGAATTCAATTCTTTTTTAAAATTTTAATAATAATCGTTGCAAGAATTCAATTATTTTTGTAAATATTAAAACTCATCGCAGGATTTCAATTATTTTTAATACAATTTCAAATAAATTTCGCAAAAAATCCAACTATTCTTAAAAATTTTAATAAAATTCTTTGAAAGAATAAAATTTTTTGAAAGAATTCAATTATTTAAAACACAATTTTTATTAAATTTTTTGAAAAAAATCATTTTTTTACAAAATTTTTTTAAAAATTTTCTCAAGAATGCAATTATTTTAAAAACTTTATTCAAGTTTGCTGACAAAAATTACATAATTTTCATAAATAATAAAACTCATCGCAGGATTTCAATTATTTTTAATATAATTTTAAATGAATTCCGCTAAAAATTCAATTCTTAAAAATTTGAATAAATTTCTTCGAAAAATTCAATTATTAAAAAAAATTTGATTTAATTTATTTCTTAGAGTGTAATAATTATTTTCAATTCATTTTAAATTACATTTCTTGAATAAATTTAATTATTATCAAAAATTTGAATTCAATTCTTCGTAGAAATTTAATTATTTGATAAAATGTTGATAAAATTCTTTATAATAATTCAAATTTAAGAAATATTCAATTATTCAGAGAAATTATTTATTATTTAAAAAAATTGAATTCTGGTAGAACTTTCTAAAATAAGAAACGAATAAAAAAATGATTAAAGCTTTGTTAGTTAATAGTTGAACTTCAAAAAATGCAATTATTCTCAAAAATTTTATAATAACTTTTATTAAAATTCTGCAAAAGAATTCAATTACTTAAACAAAAATTTTATATTAATTTTTTTGCAAAAATTCAATTATATTCGTAGGTAATATAATTTTCAAAGGAATTCAATTATTTAAAACTTAATTTTCATAAAATTTTTCGAAGAAAATTAATTATTTGTAAAGAATTTTATAAAAAATGTTCGCAAGACGTTAATTATTTATAAAAAAATAATTAATAAAGTTCTTTGCAAGAATTCAATTATTTTCAATTATTTTTATAAATAATAAAATTTTTCTCCAAAATTCAATTATTTTCAAAGATTTTCCAAAATAATTAAATTATTAAAAAAAAATTTAATACAATTTTTCGAATGAATTCAATTATTTTCATAAATAATATATAATTTCCAAAGAAATTCAATTATTTAAAATCCAATTTTCATACAATTTTTTGAAAATAATCATGACTTTGAAAACATTTTTTTAAAGTCCTTCTCAAGAATGCAATTATTTTAAAAACTTTATTAAAATTCGCTGACACAAATTCAATTTTTTTCATAAATAATAAAACTCATCTCAGGATTTCAATTATTTTTTATATAAAATTAATTCCGCGAAAAATGCAAAGACTATTCTTAAAAATTTGAGTAAAATTCTTCGAAAAAATTCAATTATTTAAAAAAAATTTTGCTATAATTTGTTTATTAGAGTGTAATAATTATTTTTAATTAATTTTTAATTACATTTCTTGAATGAATTTAATTATTATTTATTATCAAAAATTTTTAATGCAATTCTTCGTGAAGATTCTATTATTTTAAAAATTGTTGATAAAGTTCTTTATGAGAATTCAAATTTATGAAATATTCAATTATTCAGAGAAATTATTTATTATTTAAATAATTTCATTTCCGTAGAACTTTCTAATAAGAATTGATTTAAAATTGAGTAAATTAAAATGATTAAAGTTTTGAATAATTTTATTTATAAATTTTAAGAAAAATGAATTGAAAAATGATTTAATTTTGAAAGAATTACTTTTGTAATTTGTAGAAATAGTTAAATTTAAAAAATGCGTTACATTGAAATCATTTGAAATATTTTAATTCCTGTAGAGAAAATAAATAAGTCTTATTTAAATATTTTCAAAAAAATTATTCTATTTTTGAATGTATTAATTATTATAAAAGAAAAATTGAGTTGTCAAGTTTTATTTTTCGATAGTTACTTTTTTATTACTTTTTTTCTGTCTTTAAGCTATTTTTTGCTACTTTCTTAAAATTTATTATCGAGTACGAAGCCTGCAATATAATTTTTGTTTATAATTTTGTTTACAATTTTGGTATAATTTTGTTTATAATTTTGTTTACAATTTTATTCTGTATTCTTTTTTCTAAATGATAATTTTTTTCTTGCAGTACGTATCAACGACACAGTCACCTTCGTGGAAGATGGCTTTGACGAAGATATTGAGTTTGGTGATGAAATTAGCGACGATGATGAAGAGAATCCCGATAATGTAAGTTTTTTCAACTCTTAACTTTCTATTTGTAGGAAATTATTATTATCTTGTGTTCTATTATAAATAAATAATTATTAAAAATACTTTTTTCTTTTTTTTCAGATCTGATGACCCACAGTCACAACAGTTGATAGGATTTAAAAAGTCGATAAAGTACTATTGTCGTTTGCTGGTGCAAATGAGGGATTGAAGTATATTCCTTTACATTCAACGCTTATTTATCTTCTTGTATCTATAAATAAATCGTCACGTTTTCTCGGTCCATACTGTGTTCTCAAAAAAAAAAAAAAAACAAGCATTTGATTTCAGTTTATTTAGAATTGTACAATTATTGTTTAAAAAAAATATTGCTATATTGCATTTAAACTGAAATCATTATTGTGCTGAGGGAGCATATTGTAACCGTAAATATTGTAGGTAAACAAATGTCTATAAATTCGTTTTTTTTTAATGTATTCATTTTCTGAAAGACACGTTAAAAATACGTGCCCATAGATTTAGATATTAAAAATTAGCCACTGTAAAATTGAGTCACTTGACTTTAATTTTCTTCTTTGTAAAATTAGACATTAGATTTTTTTGTTAATAACAGTTAGTTTATATTTTTTGTTGAGGAAATTTTTACTAGCTCAATTTTAGGGATGTAATTGTGTTATTATAATTTTAAACTCTTGGCAATAGAGGAAGTTTATAGAGTATAAAAAGAAAATAATTTTGCTCCGGAAAGGAATTTTTTTTTAAATTATAGTAAAACAGTGAGGAGAAAAGAAAAGTAATATCTCTGACAATATTAACGACAGTATTTGTTTTTTCGAAAGACGAAATAAATTTTTTTAACAATACACTTTTTAAATTGATTACTCTAGTAATTTATTAGCGTCGCAGTAATGATGAAATTTTTATATACCTTTAATATATTTTGTTGCTTGAATTATTTCGAAATGTATTTTAATTTTTATTTTTACAAATAAATTAAATTTATTTGTAAATTTAAATTCAATTCGAGATTATTGTAAATTTAATAGTATTAACGAAACTTACTTTTTTCTCATCTTGTTGATCATATAACATTATAACTATTCGTGAAACAAAAATTAGGTGTTAAAAAGTTTTTCAATTTTTAATCTTTTCAAAAACATGTCTCGTATATTCGTATCAAATGCAATTATCATAGTTTGAACATTAATACATTATCGAATTTTGTTAAATTAAGAGAGAGGAAGCACTTTTTGTTGACTTGCATAATAATAATTCAAATTTCATTGTAATCACCTGTAGTAAATTTTTCTTGAAATATTCGAAATTTATTAAACGAAATAAAAAATGTATTAAAAATCAAATTGGTTTTTTATATTATAAATCATTCAGTGAATGTCAAATCAAACTTCTTTAAAACACTTCGCAATTTTTAATTTTTTTCCAAAAGTCGGGAATCGCGTTTTTGACACTTTGATATATTCTCTGAAACTACATCTCAAAAATATAGTTTTTTGGTCTAAAAAATAAAAAAAAATTGGTCTTAAAAATAAAAATACAAGTGATTGTATTTTCACTTGGATTTTTATTTTTATACCAAATTTGTTGGTGTTTTATATTTTTCTCGGTATTATTTTTTTGCCTAAGTGATTTTTTTTCCTTAGGTGTTAATGATGTTTTTAATGAGAGTATAACGCTTTGCCAGAGGCAATTTTACATTTTTTGTGACGTAAAATCCTCTAAAGGAATTATTGATTACACGTTGACTTTTTATATTCTTATCACTTGAGAAATTTATTTTAATACAATAAGTATTTTGACCGTAATTTAATAATTTCTTCATAACAATACTTGTTTCGAAACTGTTCTTTGTTAATTTTAATAGGTGTTGTTATGATCTAAATATTATCACGATTATATTAATTTGAAATAAATACTTTTTAAATCTTATTTTAATGTCCCTGTTAAAATAGAACAAAAGAATTTAAATATAATTAATAGAATCATAATCTTTAAAAGTAGAATCAGTGAACTAGAAGGAGAAGGAAATAGAAATTTTTCTGCAATTCAATAATTTTGCTGCAAAAAATGCCATTTAATCAAGAAGTTCTTTATTTAAGAAGTAATTAGTACAATATTTATAAAATGTTTCCATAATTTAGAATTAAATTTTATTCCTGATTCTAATCATCTTTTGTTATTTCAGTAGAAATTTAACAGCATTTTGCAATTTGGGTTACTTTGAAAGTTTCTCCTTGATTTTTGTTTGATGTTTTCTTCACAGCTGAAAAAGAAAAATTGACTGATTGTAGAAATGGATAATTATTAGTAGAAGATATAAATATATTACTAATATTATTTATATTAATTAATATTAATAAAAATCCTAAAAGGAATACAAATTTTTTTTTGTTGTGATAAGTTAGAAATTTAATAACAGAATTTATTTACCATTTTAATGTTTCTTTGATTTCGAGGGAGATGATTTTGAAGAGGCTGGAGATGAAGCTTTCGGAATAACTGCTTCTTCTGAATCTACTTTCTTGCCCTCAACTTTGTCTGATGTGGACTTTTTGTCATCTTCCTTTTCCAAACCCAAGTCGAATTTAATGTCTTCAATTATCATTTTTGCATCGTCAGTTACTTCTCCGTATGCATGTTTGACAACTTTCATTACTCCCTTGAAGAAACTGTCTTTTGATTCCTTAGTTTCAGTTTCTTTCTTTTCGTCCTTTTTTTCTTGTTCTTTCTCCTTTTCAGTCTCCTTCTTTTCTTCTGCTTTTTCCTTTTTAGTCTCCTTCTTTTCCTCCTTCTTTTCTTCTGGTTTCTCCTTTTTAGTCTCCTTCTTTTCCTCCTTCTTCTTTTTTTCTGGTTTCTCCTTTTCAGTTTCCTTTTCATCATCTGATCCTGAAGCATTTAGAACATCTCTCACGTCTTCGATAATTTCCTCATAAACACCTCTTGCTGAATTTAAAATACCAGCAATTAGTCCATCTGATTCATTGGCATTTTCGGTGGTACTTGGTTTAGCTTCTTCTTCGGTTTTTTCCTTGTTATCGTTGTTTTCAATCGGAGATTCCGTCTTTGGCTCTGCTGCGGATTTACATTTATGCTCCTGCTTAGGTTCTGGCTTAACATAACATTTAGGCATTACAGTCTCTTGCTTTAGGCAGCAAGTTGGTTGTTGAGGCTCTGGTTTTGGTGCTTCGCATTTAGGTGCTGGTTTTGGTGCTTCACATTTTGGCGCTGGTTTAGCTTCACATTTAGGAGCTGGCTTAGGTTCGCACTTGGGAACTTCAGGTACAACAATCTCTTGTTTTTGGCAGCAAATTGGTTCTTGGGGTGCTGGCTTTGGTGCTTCACATTTAGGAGCTGGTTGTGGTTCTTGTTTTGGTGCTTCGCATTTAGGAGCTGGCTTAGGTTCACACTTGGGAACTTCAGGTACAACAATTTCTTGCTTTTGGCAGCAAATTGGCTCTTGGGGTGCTGGTTTTGGTGCTTCACATTTAGGCTCTGGTTTTGGTGCCTCACATTTAGGAGCTGGTTGTGGTTCTTGTTTTGGTGCTTCACATTTTGGAGCTGGCTTAGGTTCGCACTTGGGAACTTCAGGTACAACAATTTCTTGCTTTTGGCAGCAAATTGGTTCTTGTGGTGCTGGTTTTGGTGCTTCACATTTTGGAGCGGGTTGTGGCTCTTGTTTTGGTGCTTCACATTTTGGCACTTCAGGAACAACAATCTCTTGTTTTTGGCAGCAAATTGGTTCTTGAGGTGCTGGCTTTGGTGCTTCACATTTAGGAGCTGGTTGGGGTTCTTGTTTAGGTGCTGGTTTTGGTGCCTCACATTTAGGCGCTGGCTTTGGTGCTTCACATTTAGGCGCTGGTTTTGGTGCCTCACATTTAGGAGCTGGCTTAGGTTCGCACTTGGGAACTTCAGGAACAACAATCTCCTGTTTTTGGCAGCAAATTGGTTCTTGAGGTGCTGGCTTTGGTGCTTCACATTTAGGAGCTGGTTGGGGTTCTTGTTTTGGTGCTTCACATTTAGGTGCTGGTTGAGGTGCTTCACATTTCGGCGCTGGTTTGGCTTCACATTTAGGAGCTGGTTGAGGTGCTTGTTTAGGCTCGCACTTAGGAACTTCAGGAACAACAATCTCCTGTTTTTGGCAGCAAATTGGTTCTTGAGGTGCTGGCTTTGGTGCTTCACATTTAGGAGCTGGTTGGGGTTCTTGTTTAGGTGCTGGTTTTGGTGCCTCACATTTAGGCGCTGGCTTTGGTGCCTCACATTTAGGAGCTGGCTTTGGTGCCTCACATTTAGGTGCTGGTTTTGGTGCCTCACATTTAGGTGCTGGTTTTGGTGATTCACATTTAGGCGCTGCTTTTGGTGCTTCACATTTTGGAACTTCAGGAACTACAATCTGTTGTTTTTGACAAGTATGTCCTTTCTTTTGATCCTTGCTTGGAGAATTTGCTTGTGATCCCTCTGTAATGTACAAAATTTTTATTAATACAATTCTTGATTAACTGAATTTTTAGCTAGTGTATATATCTTTACATGAGTGCTTATTGATTTTTACAAAAAATTTAGTTGTTTAACTCACCAGTAGTAGGTTTTTCTTCAACATTCATAAAGTATCCAGTTTCGTGTCGAATGAAGTCAACTGTCACTTCCTTTTCTTTCGAGAATAATGAGTTTGCCCTTCCGCTCATGATTTCGGTATTTTTATTTAATCTTGAAAGAAAAGCACTGTTTAATTACAAGAATACATTTGAAATCAAGTAGTAAGAAAATCAAATTTTGATTTTTAAAAGGAAATAAAATCGAAAACAATATTAAATACTTACAGAATTTGAAAAATGAAGTTAGTGATTCTCTGGTGGTCTAAGATTCACTACTGATTGTTTAGGAATGAAACTTTTATTTAAATACACCTGTAAATGAGATCATTGCAGCGAGTATTATTAATTTAAATGAGAATTTAATTGAACACATCGACCTCAAGAGATAAGTTTTCGTAATTTCGTTTTGAAACAAATGAAACTTTGTCAGTGTAGTTAATGTACTTTTTAAGCAATGCTTTATGTACATACAATCGAAGATAATACAAATATGACAATCGTACGATTTCTTATGAGGTACAATGTATAATCATAAAATCATTTATTTTCCATATATTTCAATAGAGAATGTTAAACATTGTAATTCAGTAATGATCAATATTTTTAAATTAACACCGATAATGCTTCCGATTGGTAGATTAGAAAACAGATTAAGATCTGAATATAGAACATTTAAATATTTCTTATAATTTTATAAATGATACCAAAGATATTCTATACTTTTTTTTTGTATTTTTCTTATTGTACTTTGCACAATATATACTCATCCGTACCAAATTTGATTGGATTTGATTGGATTCACGTAAAACTTTAAAGCAATGAAATGCAAGCATTCATACTTTGCAAAATTAAAATTTCAATCTTTTTGGTGTAAAGTTGGAGTCAGATTTTTAACAGTGTAATCATAAGCTTTGCAAAATGTTATCTTCTAACTACATATTTTTTTAAATTGTATAATTAATATTAAACCTTTTGTTTCTTTATTTCTATTAAATTATTATTGATTGAAATTAAAGAATTTTATTGAGTCACATTTTTTAAAAATTTAGTCACACCCAATTAACCTGTAAGTTTGCAGTAAGTTTACAGTCGGCATGTTATGCTGTTATAAAGTCATGTTGCTACCTGCAGCAAGCTTACTGAAAGCCTGCAGATTAAATGAGCATTTATAAAAATTTATAAAACAATAAAAAGTATAAGAAGGAAATCTAATTTATTGATGTATTTTTATTTTTCAGTCCATTCTCAGGAAATAATTTGAAAAACAGAGAAAAAGGTCGTTTTTTGCCTATGGAAAAGTACCAGCAGCATACTGTGGATCTAAGCAGAAGGTTAGATTCTAAGTTCATCCGCATGCCTAGAATTAACATTTATGAATATTGAAAATTTATTACTTTTATAGAAAATCCAAAGTTGGTTAATCAACCTATTACCCCTTTAAGAAATATTAAAGTTCTTAAAGGAATGACAAGGTAAATGCGATTTTTATAAAGAGCTTCAAAAGAAAAATCGCATTTACTTTCAGACCCCGCATAAAAGTGATTTTCGTAAATTACTTAGAATTTAAAAAAAAAAGAAAGAATATTTCGTGGAAGTAATAACAGAGATTCTATAAAGAAATCGCATCGACTTTAACATCTTAAGTTCTTAAGGACATTTGAACCATTATGACGTCACAATTTGATTAGAACATTTATTCTAAAACTGTGACCAACTGTGACGTTCATAATGGTTCAAATTTCGTTTATATCGAATATTGTTTCCTTGGTAGGCAGATTATCAATTTTAGGAAAAACCAATTTTTTGTACTACTGAACCCTTCCTTTTATTTTAGTGCCGCTAAAAATGGTTTTTGATTCCAAAACCTTCTTTACTGCTTTTTCACCCACTGCTTCTTTGAAAATTGTGATTAAAACAATTTTAGTTTTTTTTGCTTTAGGATTTTTTAAATTCCACGGTTTTTCCTGCAGGTTGTCATGGTGACCTGCAAGAGTAAGAGAGACAGTGAATTCAAATGTAATGCACTTTCTCTCTTACTCTTGTTGCTCCTGCACGTGCAGGTAGTCTTTTGTGATTATGGTGATAAATTGATTATAATTCGATTTGTCGAAAGTTTATCTAAAAAAAAAAGTGATCGTGTGAAAGAAAATAGTGATCTTGTGTACCATAAATTTCCCGTCAACGTCATATATAGTCATCAACTGGTTTCCTTTGCTTGAAATATGTGAGATAATCATCTGGAAAGAAATGATTTTTATGGATGTGATCATCCATTGCGGATTTATACTTTTGGTAAGTTATATTTAGTTTAACTGTTTTTCTTTTTTTCTTTAACGATAAATATTTATCTCTTTCGGTGAAAATTTATTAAAGATTTACTTGCGAACTTCGAAGTGTTTACTTGCAAAGTTTAGTGACTATTGTGTAAATATTTAAAAGTCCCACTTCAATTTAAATTCATTTAAATCTTTACCCAATTTTCACTAAAATTTGCAAGTAAATACTCCGAATAATAATAAAATTGATTCTATCACTCGGTTGTCAAATTAATTAAGTATTGAAGTCAACGATCACTCTGAGTTTTAACTCTTGACTTCAATACTTAATTAAATACTCCGAAGTTTGCAAGTAAATCTTTAATAAATTTTTAGGAAAGTTTTATTCTACTTTTGGGTTTGACTGCAGTAGTGGGGAGGGAGTAAAATGCGTTGCTATTGGTAGGAAGGTCTTCTTAGCGGTATTGCTGCGCATAAGACGAATTCAAGTTGAATCTTCTAAACTCAACTGTAAACTCTAAATATTTATAATCTTTTATTTCTTGCTGTTCAAATTTTCTTCAATGAAAATAGCCTCACCACCACGTTGCCACCACGATATACATTCCTTAAAATTTCATCAAAACCGATGGTAATATTGTCTACCATTTTTACCGACATTACAAAACTTCTTACCTTCTTAACTTTCTTACCAAGGTTCCATGGTTCCATCGTTAATCACGTGGTCCTCGAATCCATCCAATAGAATCTTAAGCACCACGTGACAATAGAAAATCGAAATTATACATATGTCTTTTTTATGAAGGGAAATATAAAGATCAATATCAAAAGAAATAATTTAATAAATTCTAGACAAGTTGGTTTTTATTATTTTTTTTATTATATGTATACTCAAATATTAATATACAGATAGTTTCATAAATATTCATTATACATATGGATATCTTTTATTTGTTTCCACTCATGCACAACTATATAAACATCGGAATAATAAACGTGGGGATGACGTCATCGGGTGACGTAAGCGGTTCCTCGACAATTTCATTAAAAAAAGACTCATGAATACTAAGCTGTTAAATACTTTACAAAAAAAATGTTTTTAAACTAAATTCTTAACTACTTCAAACTAAAATTCTTTAAATACTAAAATAAAAATTAAATGGGGACTGTTAACTTAAAAGTATCAAAGGGCAACGAATTTGATACCAAAAATGTGGATCAAATAAAAAATTGATCCAGATTCTTGGCATCAATTTGATCCGCACTTTAGTATCAATTTGATAATAAAGTGCGAATAAATTCGCACGATAAATAAATATAATTTTGTTGAGATAAAATAGTGAATTTCTTTCTAAATACGTGTGAGTGATCTTGACCGCACGAAAGTTCAATGATACTTAATTTTTTTATATTCTTAATTTACAATATTTCAATTATAGTCTCGATTATATTACCGCAGGGTGGTCACAAGTTTCAGTTTATTAATTTCCCTGACAATTTACTGACATTAAAATTATTTTCCCTGACAAAATTCTTTTTTACAGGAATAAAATATATGAATGTTTACGAAAAATGAGTAAAATTTATGAATTTTAATAATTTCTAAAAATTACAATTTTCCAAAAGTTCTTCAAGAATTCAATTATTTCAATAAAAAAAAAACTCCATTTTTTATAGTAATTGTAACTCTCTATGTAGTTTTTTCCTAAGTTATTTTTAAATAGTTTTTGAAAGATAATAGTTTTTCAATTCAAAATAATTGAATTCTTGAAAAATATAAATAAAAATAATCAAATTTTTGAAGAATTTTATTTTTATAAACAAGACCTTGATTTCTCAAAAATTTGAATAATTGTCCAAAAAGTAAATTTTTATAAATTGTTATTTACATTATTCAAAGATCTTTTAATTAAATTAACTTAAAAATTTTTTTTTTTCTTTAAAAATTATTATAAAATAATTGTAATAATTAGTTTTTAAAAATATTTTGATGCAATTTTTCGCAAATAATTGAACAGGGTTGCCACAGGTCAGGAAATTCAGGGAAAAGTTAAAGATTTTAATTAAAAGTACTGGAAAAAATTGAATTTTTAAAATTCATGAGAAAACTTTGAATTTTGATGTTTTTTTTTTTGTTTGCTTCGTAAACTATGAAATTACCACGAATTTTAATACAAAACCTATCATAAAAATTATTACTTAGAAATTATTTAATGAATAATTTTTACATTATTTTACATATTTTTCATAAATACTAGATTGATAGAAGAATTTCAGTTAAAAATACTAAAAAAAAATTGAATTTTCGTCAAAATTTCAATTATCTTTTGTATAAGTAATAAAATTCTTCATCGAAATCCAATTATTTTTATAAACTTGAATAAAATTCGTTGCAAGAATTCAATTATTTATATAAATAATAAAATTCTTCACCGAAATTTAATTATTTTTATAAACTTGACTAAAATTCGTTACAAGAATTCAATTATTTATATAAATAATAAAATTCTTTACATAGATTCAATAAATTATTTATTTATTAATTTAAATAATTGAATTTGTTTGAAAAATTTTACTATTTGTAAAAATAATTGAATTCTTGCGAAGGATTTTATTAGGATTTTTGTAAATAATTAACTTTTTTTTTTGAAAAATTGTATGGTTTTCAAAAAGGTATGAATTTGAATGTTTTGAAGAAGTTTAATTCCTACAGAAAAATAATAATGATTAAATATTTATTTAAAAAGGAAATTATTGATGTTTTTGAATAATTTTAGAATTAAAGAAATTTGTAAATAAATGTAATAGAATATTTTTTTTTGAGTATCTAATAATTTTTAGAGTGAATCAGAATATTCTTTAGGGTCAGGAAAAAAGGGAAAATTTGCCTGGAAATCAGGGAAAAATAAAATTAAATATTTGTGGCAACCCTATTGAATTTCTGAAAAGAATTTTTGTACAATTTAAAAAAACTAATCAATTTTTTGATGAATTTTATTTAAAAATTTTGAACATGATTGTTTTCTGCAAAATGTTAAAAATAATTCTAAAATTTTATTATTTTAGTATGAATTTATTTTTGGAAATATGTAGGTAAAATTGAAAATACTGAAAATATTGAATATTAAAAAATTAGAAGCTACCTAATTAATTTTCATTTTTAAATATTTACCTTTAAAGATTTTTCATCAATATTTTTTGATATTTCAATTATTTTCAAAATTTGCAATTAAAATTCTTCAAAAATTGATTTTCAAAAATTGTAACAAAATATTTGAAATAAATTAATTATTTTCAATTAAATTTTACAAAATGTCAACTATTAAAAAAAATTTTATTGTAGGATATATTTGAAAAATTTAATTTTGTTAAAAAATGATTCAAAATCAATTTTTGAAAGATTTGTTTATTTTTTCGTATTATAAAAATCAAAATAAGTTGCACTTTTTTTTTTTACTAAAAATTGTTGTATTTTGTTGCAATGTTTAGAAGAAAGTCGAAATACTTGCAATTTTTGAAAATTAATCGAAAAAAGTCTCAATTTTCTTAATTTTTCTGACAAAAATTTTTTTTCCCGACATTTCTCTGACTTTACTGACAAAAAATTTATTTCCCTGACATTTCCCTGACTTTACTGACATGTGACATGTGAAATTCGCGCCTTTTTTCAAACAATTCTATAACTATATTTTTTAATTTCTTATCTTGGGTATATATTTAAAAAATGATTCATAATCGATAATACAATATTCAGTTATCGGAAAAATTGTCGCGAGGGGGGGGATTGTATACGCTATTTAAAAGAGTATTATAAAATATAAGGAAAAAAAATTGGTTCTAAATCAATGGAAGAATGCGCACTGGAACGAGTGTCATGAAAGCGAGCATAAAAGTCAAGGACAATAAGTTTATTATCGAGAAATAGTTTTTTCTAATTTTATTTAAAGAAGATTTTTCTAATATTTTAGGAAAAAGAGTAATAGGAGAAAAGCGCGGGATAGATAAAATTCAATGTGTGCGGGGAAGTTGGGAAAGTGTGTGTGTGTGTGTGTGTGGTTCTCTGGACAGGAATATTGAAAACGGTGGTAGATGGTGGGGATAGTGTTCCGCCATTTTGTTGGTGACGCGCAGTTCTGAGATTCAAGATTCACCAGTGACGAAGTGACTGGACTTTTGACGTGGCTGCTACGTACCTGCCCGTTTTGCCCACTCCGACAGCAAAGTTGGTGACGAGAAATACGTAACTGGTAAGTACTCAGCTGGAGAATAACAACCGGGGGTGGACCATGGTACTTGCAATACATCCAAAATGCTTTGTTATTCGCGAGCCTATGCTTTTTGGCACGGTACACGAACAAAACATACATCTCGGGCACGATATCCCGCGAAATATGGCGTCTTTCGAGTTGATGTTTGCGGAATATTTTTCAAATATGCGATTTTAACCGTAATTCAGAGCGTTTGGGATATCGCGCGCTTTTTTTAATAATTATTTTCCCCTCATGACTGCCAAGTATTTGTTGACAATTGCACGCGGACAACACACGCTTTAATAACTTCATCAACATTTTGGTCGCAAAAATTCTCACGTCAATATTTACAGAGAGAGAGAGCGAGCGAGCAACCACACACACAGGTTCTCTTTAGGAACATTCCACTCTGCGCTTTTATTGTTCGCTTATTATTTTTAGACTCGCTTATGTAAATGACGCAGTTGTATTGTTGAATTCTTTATTGGCGCTATTTTCAAAAAAAAAAGGGGGAAAATTCGATTACAGTGTGAATATGAGTTTTTGTCGACGACATTTCTGTTTGTTGTGCTCTAGGGGATAAATGTATTTTTATTGGTTTCGAGTGTCTCAACTCTTTTAATGTTACATCATTTTGCCGGGAACTTTTTAGTACGATGTCTGGTTTGTTCTTTTTTATGAAATCGTCTTAGTCTTCTTGATCTGCTTAATTGGGAAAATCTTTGTTGGAATTTTACTGCTTTTTGTTTTTATATGCGTAAGATAGGATGAAAATTGATGTTTTGAGGTTAAGTTTCCTCTTGATGTTTTTTTTCTGGTTATGAGAGTGATTTCTTGATACTTTTTTTTAAACATTTCGTTTTAGTTTTTTAACAATTTCTTGTAGTTTATTTTAAATTTTTTACGGGTTCTTTTAATTCTTTTAAAGTTTTCTTTTAGTTTCTTTCGGTTCTTTTTAGGTTTTTTACAGTTTCATTAAGTTTCTTTCAGTTTTTTTACCAGTATTTTTAGTTTTTTGGTTTCTTTTAGTTTTTTTTACCATAATTTTTTAGTTTTTTGGTTTCTTTTAGTTGTTTACAGTATCTTTAATTTTTTAGTTTTTTTTACCAGTATTTTTTAGTTTCTTTTAGTTTTTTACAATATTTTTTAGTTTTATTAGTTTCTTTTCCATTTTTTAAACAGTTTTAAAAAACTGAAAGCTTAATTAATTTTATTCTTTGGCAAAGTTTGTAACTTGTATTTAACAGTTTATATTTTTTGCAGGCTTCGCAAACGTTCTCGGGCTATGGAAAGTATGGTTGAAGAAAACGGCTCAGCTGTTGATCAACTATCGCAAGGATCGCATAGTGGCGATGCAGCTCCAGTTATTGCCACATCGGTACAATTATTACTTTAAACAGAAATTAGCAACAATTTGGTAACCAGCATTATGCAACTATGACATCCTTCCTCTGAGACTTGCTAGCAAAAATTCCTATACATTTAATTAAGAAATTTTCCGTTTTTGTCTGGATTTTCTAGATGCCAACTTTACTTCAAATATAACAGATATTTACAGATATTTCTGCAGAAATTATATTTGAAGCTAGAATATTAAGTTTAAAACCTTAAAACTCAAAAAAAAAACTTTCAAATAGTAGATCCGTTAAGAGATTGATTAAATTGTATTAAAATGTTTATTTCAATCAAATAAATTTTATTTGAACCAATAATTTCAATATTTGAACAGATAATTTCCGTATTTAAAACAAATACGATTCAGGAATAATTTCTAAATTAATTTAATAAATATTAAAAAGAATATAAATGCACACAGATAAATTGAAAGAAATTAAAAAACAAAAATTCAGAAATAACAGTTTGGAACTGAAATGATTCAAAGTTGAGCAATATTTGTAAATATTTTAATTTTTTCAATTAACCTCATCTTACCGGGAAATAAAAAAAACTCATTTTATATTCTAAAGAGTTTTTTTTTAATTCTGAACGAAAATAGCAAAACAGAACTTCTTTTTGTATAATGCTGGTTATTTTATTCATTTTAATAACATCTCAGGTTTGTCACGATTTAGGAAAATCAGGAATTTAAGGAAAAGTTGGGGTAAAATAAAATTAAAAAACAGTTTTTTTTAAAAAAAAAGGTTATAAAATCCGTAATTTGATTGAAAAAGGAAAAAAAAATGTTGAAATTTAGAAAATTTTTTTATAGAGATCAGGGAAAAAATCAACATTTTAGGAAAAGAGAAAATCAAATTTTTACGGCATACCTGCATCATTTAAAAAATAGTTTTATTGTTCAATTTAATTACTATTTATTGTAATAATTTATTGTTTACTTAAAAATGTTATTTTTAAATTCGAAATACAGGTACAATCTGTAATACAACCCAATCAACAGTCTGTAATTCAGACAGCAACAAATATTCAACCTGTTGCCCTCTCCAAAGGCAATGTTATCCTCGTTAAACCCAACTCAGTCATTCAAACGACAGGAGGTTTACAAACACTCCAGGTAATTCATTTTTTGTAAATTTATTTATTAAATATATAATATTATTAATAAATTATTTTATTTTTTGAATCAAAGGTCGTTGAAACGGCGAGTGATGATAGCTATTCAGACGAAGAATCTCCGAAAAAAAGACGTGATATTCTCACGAGACGGCCGTCATACAGGAAAATTCTTAACGATTTAGGAGGTGGAGAAATAGCAGGTAAACTAATTATTATTTCTCATTAAATAACCCGATTCTGCAAATTTTAATTTTCTCTTCTTGTGAATGAAATACAAAAGTGTTTTCTAAATTTGCCATGTTGAACATGAATTCTGAGGTTTTTCTCTTTTATGAAAAAAGAATTTAAATTTCTATTATCAGATTTTTCTCTTTTTATTTAAATTTTCGAAATTTTGTATGCACCTCAATAAATTTAGAGAACAATTTAGAAAAACTAAAAAAAAAAACTAAAAAAGAGGATTCAAACATCCCTTTTTCTAAATATTAAGGCTCGAACTAAGTCCGTAAATCCCATAAAAGTCCGTCTTTTAAAAAAACGTCCGTAAAGTCCGTAATTTCATTGAGAAAAGACAAAAAGTTTGTAAATTCTACGATATAATTTAGAGAATTTTAGAGAAATTACAAATGACTGCAGAAATTCAATTATTTATAAATTATTCATAAATTTCTTCGCAATCTTTCAATTATTTTCATAAATAATAAAATTTTTACATGGATTCAATTATTTTCGTAAATAATAAAATTCTTTTTATGAATTCAATTATTTCCATAAATAATAAAAAAAAACTCATTAAAAAATTTCAATTATTTTTAATACAATTTTAATCGAATTCCTTGAATAAATGTATAATTATTCCTAAAAATTTTAATAAAATTCGTCAAAAGAATTCAATTATTTTCAAAAATAACAAAATTTCTCACAGAAATTCAATTATTTTTAAATATTTTTATAAAATTTTTGTCAATAATTCAATTATTTTCATAAACAATAAAATTCTTCTCAGAAATTCAATTATTTTTGAAAATTTTAATGAAATTCTTTGCAACAATTCAACTATTTTATAAATAATAAAATTCATTGTTGGATTTCAATTAATTTTAATACAATTTTGCAGGAATTGATAAAAAAATGGAATTATTTTTTTTAATCAATTATTTATAAAAATATTAGAATTTTTCACAGGAATTCAATTATTTTCAAATATTTTTATAAAATAAATTCTTTGTGGGAATTGAATTTTAATAAACATTCAATTATTGTATTTGAATAATTTAATTTGTAGTAGAATTTTCTAATAAAAATTGATTTTTATTTCATAAAAATGAATTTCAGTTAAAATTTTAGATAATAATTGAATATTAAAAGCATTATAGCGTGAATATTTAAAAATAATTGAATTTTGAAATTAATTTTTTTTGAAAAAGTTTAATTGAATTTTTTTGTATTTTAAGTTTTTATTTTCTAATATATATTTAATTGAAGAATTTACGAATAATTGCAATTTCGTAAAATTGAATATTGTAAAGAAATGGATTTGAAAATTGTTAAAGAAGTTTTTCAAAAATTATTAAAAATAATCGATTTAAAGAAAAATTTTAGTTAAAAATTCTTGAAAATAATAATTGAATTGATAATGACTGGTTATATTTTTGTCCGTAAATTTGTCCGAAATTTTTAATTTTTGGTCCGTAAGTTCGTATTTTTAAATAATTTCACTGGTTCGAGCCTTGAAATATCTAATAATGTTTTCATTGTTGGATTCAATGTTCAGGGTGGAAAAATTCTGAAAACGCAAAATTTAGAATTCCATTCACAAAATTCGTGCAGAAAAATTATATAGAAAGTATTTTCCATTTTTTTTTTTTTTTTATTTTACAAACATTTTTTTATTTTTAATAGAAAATTTCGTTATCAAGTGGGGAAACTATTATAATATTTAAAAAAAAAATTAAGAAATTTATTAGCGAAAACAGAACAGCGACATGAAATTATTACAATAGTTTCCTTTATTTTAAACACAAAATTTTAAAGTGCATGTCAGTTCATACGAGAAGTAGTTCCAAATTTTTTAAAAAAAAGAAAGAATAGCTTTTGTTTTTTGCACACTTTTAATGAACATTTCTTTTGATTCCTAGAAAAATTCAATAGAAGTAAATATTGTTTTCATACTTTTTTCCAATGCAAGATCATTATTAATAAATAAAATAAAAAGCAATCATTATTATTAATAATTAATAATTAATAAATACAAAGCAACTTAACTTTATAGATAATTGGTGTTAATTATACATAATTTTAATAAGAATAGTAAAATTTAGTTCAAATATTCAAAATTAGTTTACGGTTTTTATGGGTTATTTCTTTCATTAAAGATTTAATTTAATGCTTTTCGTGTTATTTGTAATATTTAATTTACAAAGTTATAGACTTCGTGAATTTGAATAGTTAATAGCAGTTAATATTTTAATAATTTTCTTTACGTGCAATTTAATATTTTTTCTATTCATGCAAAAATATTTTTTCTAACATTACAATTTTAGCAATAATTTTATATTAATGTATTTTATATTTTAATAACTAGAATGCCATACCAAGCTTTTTTTCAAAAGAATTAATTATAGCTGTAATTTGTCTCTTTATAATGAAACATCCCTTTCCCTTTCCTAATGTGTAAGTGTAGTTAATTAATAAGCATAATTTTTAAATTTAATACAATGACTAAAACTTTATATAAACGTGATGATAATTAATAACAGAAAAAAATGGAAATTTTAATTCTTTTGTCAGATCGATTTTTCTTTCATTTTATTTCTGTATGACCTGACTGCACAATACTTTTTCAGTCAAGTTTTTTTTTTAGTTATTTGTTTAATAAACAGGAAAGTCGAAATTCAACACTCGAAGTATTTTTTTTTTTGAAAAAAATAGTCTTCGAGTTTGGATTTTGTAAAAAAAAAGTAAAAGTATTTAGCAAAAAAACTAAATTAAGTTAAGAAAGAATCTGATGAAAAAAAATCGGGGTTTCGTCCGAATTCGGTGTTACAGAGGGTCGTTTGCATACTTTAGAATCTTCGTCAGAGTGTGACTCGAATGTGGACAGTGAAGTGTCTTCTCATTCGCTCCATTATCAGACAGGTTGGTTATTTTTTCTTCTGTATGTCTATCCTGTCACTCCCATGAAAAAAAATATTCATTGCATGTTTATTCCTCCCTTTACCCTTTACCTTTCAATATTACTCAGGGGAAAAAATGGCTTAAAATTTACAGCAAAATTCATTCACATATCTTTCGTTGTATCGTAAAGCACAAAAAAAAAAATTTTTTAAAAAACTCTCTGGGATATTTTGCTTGGTATGGCATTCTTGCTTAATCTTTGCTGGAGTAAACCTTTCATTCATAACTCTTCATTAATTGATTAGTTCACGTATCGCTTTTGAAAAAAATACGCTTTTTCTCTAAAGAGACATTTTTAACCCACATTTCTAGATCGCAGTAAATTATTGCTGTGCGTCAAAGTATTTTTTAATTCGACAACAGGGCTGTTATGATTTAAACAGATTAAAAATACGTTTCCATTTAAATTATGATTTAAATCAAATTTTTAGTATAAAATTAGTTTTTTAATCAATTACTTTTAATTTCTTGTTTTGACATTTTTGAAATGGAAGCAATTTAAATTAATTAATTAATTTTAAAAAAGTTGGTTTCAGACTGAAAAAAGTAAAAAAGTAGCTATCGGAAAATTAAATTTGTCGACTTTTTTCTTAGCCCGCTAATAATTATAATTCTAAATTTTTGCAAAATTCAATTATTTTCTGAATTTCAATTTCAATTTCTTCAAAAATACGATTATTTACTTATAAAAATAATTTTTGAAAGTAAAATAATATAATTCTTTAAAATTCTTTAACTAATAAAATTTATTTAATTTGGCGAAATTTACAAATACTTAATTGGAAATTTAAATAAATATTTTTATTTTTTACGAGACTTTTCAATATATTCAAAACATTTTAACTAAAATTTTTCAAAAGACTAATTTTTCTTCATAATTTCTAAAATAAATTATCCAATATAATGTTCGTTCACCTAATTATAATTTATTAATAACTTAGTGAATAATTAAATGTTTCTTTAAATTGAATTTTCATAAAGAATTTTATCAATAAATTTTTAAATAATTGAATTTTTTTTGACGAATTTTAATAAAATTTTTAAGAATAATTACATTTTTCGACGAATTTGATTAAAATTGTAATAAAAATAATTGAAATTCTGCAATCCGTTTAATTAATTATAAAAAGGATTGAATTTCTAAAAAGAATTTTATTATTTACGAAAATAATTGAATCTGTGTAAAAATTTTATTATTTATCAAAATAATTGAATGACTGCGAAGAAATTAAAAAAAAAAAATTTGTAAATAATTGAATTCCTGTGAAATTTTTATTATTTTATGGACAATTTTTTTAAAATAATAATAAAAATATAATAATAATAATAATAAATAAAAAATTTTGAAAATAATTACATTTTTCGAGAAATTTATTTAAAATTGTATTCAAAATAATAAAAATCCTCTAAAGGATTTTATTATTTCTGAAAATAATTTAATTCATGCAACGAATTTTATTTAATTTTTTTTTAAATAATTAAAATTGAATAATTTTCTTATTTGTAAAAATAATGAATTTTTTGAAGAATTTTATGAAAATTTAAAAGCATAATTCAATTATTTTGAATAATTGAATTAAAATTGTATTAAAAATAATTGAATTCTTGAGATAAATTCTATTATTTATGAAAATAATTTAATTCTTATAAACAATTGTTATCAAAATTTTAAAAAATTAGATATTAATTTATTTGAAACTATTTTTTGGAAATATTTTAGATAATTGAATTTTTTTGAAGAATTTTATAAAAATTTAAAAGAATAATTCAATTATTTCGAAAAATTTAATTAAAATTCTATTAGAAATAATTGATTCTTTTCGAAAAATTATCTTGATAAAGAAAATATTTATTTATTTTCAATTATTTCAAATAATTGAATTTTTGTGAAATTCTTTTTCCATTCTAATTGAATTTTCGCGAAGAATTTTATTAAATATTTTTAAAATAATTATATTTTTTTTTGAGAATTTTTATTAAAATAGTAGATATTGAAAATCATTGAATTGAGAAAAATTTTTGAAAATAATTGAAATTTTCTCACGAATATTATCAAAAAAATTTTATAATAATTGAATTCATGCGAAGAATTTTATAAAAATTTTTTTAAATAATTTAATTCTTGCAACGAATTTTATTAAAATTGTTTGAAATTAATTTTTGTATTTTAACTATAGTGGAATTTTTCAAAAAAAAAAAGAAAAAAGTAGCTTTTAATGTCACAAATTTGAAAAAGTATTCAAATAGTAGCTAATCGTAAAAAACCTAGTCTGTTCAGCAAGTTTGATTCACTAAATAATTCCTTAAGAAGATTAAAATTATTCTTTGTTGCTTCTATTATAAAATTAGTCTTTTTATCATTACTGCAAAAATAAGCAAAAGAAAAAATTTGATTTAAACAGAAAAATAGTTTTTAACAGTCCTGTTCAACAATCATTTCACAGAATTCTATTTTTCTCACGCAATTTTCTTTTATTGAAATCGAAAATGAATTTTTGTAAATTAATTTTTAGTCATTCCTGCTGGTACGATTCAAATTGCCACCCAAGGAGAAGGTGTACCTGGACTTCACACTTTAACTATGAGCAATTCGGCGACAGCGGGAGGAACAATTGTACAATACGCACAAGGACAGGACACGCAATTTTTCGTTCCAGGTGTGTTGAGAATTAGTTTTCTTTTCTTTTTTTTTTTTTTTTTTTGCTTTCTCAGGCAGTTTTAAAGGCAATGTTTGTTTCTGAACTATTAAAAATTACCTTTAAATTGATGTCAGTTTAATAAATAATTCAATTTTCTGGTTTTTCCCAAAGTACAGTCTCTTGCAATGTTTCAGCCTACACAGGACATGGGGTTGTTGTTGAGGACGCAGCAAGAAAACGAGAATTGAGGCTTCTTAAAAACAGGTAAATGGAAATTGACAATTTTTTTTTAACAATTTAAATGCGAAAAAGTTGTTTTTATTATTTCTATTTTCACTCGGAGTGATTGTTGACCTTAGAGTTTCATTCGAAAATTCAATTATTTTCAAAAGTAATAAAATTCTTTGCAAAAAATCAATTATTTTCAAAAGTAATAAAATTCTTTGCAAAAATTCAATAATGGTAAAAATTTTTTTAAAATTCACATAATGGTTTCAGTTATCTTTATAAATAATAAAATTCTTCTCCAAAGTTCAATTATTTTCAAAAATTTTAATAAAATTCTTCCCAAAAGTAAAATTCATCATAAGAATTAAATTATTTCTATAAATAATAAAATTCTTTTTAGGAATTCAATTATTAAAAACTTTGATTAAATTGAATAAATTAAAGAAATTTTTCGAAAGAATTAAATTATTTTGTAAAAAATTTAATAAAATTCAAGAATTAAATATTTAATTTCAATTATTAAGAAACACGATTATTGTAGAATTCAATTATTTAAAAAAAAATTAATAAAGTTCTTCATAAGAATTCAATTATTTTTGAAAATTTTAATAAAATTTGTTGCAATAATTCAATTATTTAAAATACATTTTTTTAAATTCTTTATATCAATTCAATTATTTTAAAATAAAAAATTTTTTGATAATATTCGTGAGGAAATTTCAATTATTTTCAAAAATTTTTTTCAATTCAATGATTTTCAATATCTACTATTTTAATAAAAATTCTCAAAAAAAATGTAATTATTTTAAAAATATTTAATAAAATTCTTCGCGAAAATTCAATTAGAATGAAAAAAAAATTTCACAAAAATTCAATTATTTGAAATAATTGAAAATAAATAAATATTTTCTTTATCAAGATAATTTTTCGAAAAGAATCAATTATTTCTAATAGAATTTTAATTAAATTATTCGAAATAATTGAATTATTCTTTTAAATTTTTATAAAATTCTTCAAAAAAATTCAATTATCTAAAATATTTCAAAAAAAAAACAGTTTAAAATATATTAATAATTTTTTTAAATTTTAATAACATTTGCTTAGAAGAATTCAATTATTTTTAATACAATTTTAATCCAATTATTCGAAATAATTGAATTATGCTTTTAAATTTTCATAAAATTCTTCAAAAAAAATTCATTATTTTTACAAATAAGAAAATTATTCGATTTTAATTATTTTTAAAAAAATTTTTTAAATTCGTTGCATGAATTAAATTATTTTTATAAATAATAAAATCCTTTAGAGGATTTTTATTATTTCGAATGAACAATTTTTAATAAATTTCTCAAAAAATTGTAATTATTATTATTTACTGTAATTTAAATTTTTTATTTTTTAAATTCAGTTATTTTCATAAATAATAAAATTCTTTTTAGGAATTCAATTTAAAGAAACATTCAATTATTCACTAAGTTATTAATTTTTGTATTTAAAATTTTAAATAATTGAATTTTAATTAAATTTTCTAATAAAAATTGATTTAAAAATGAATTTCAGTTAAAATTTTAGATTATAATTGAATATTAAAAGCATTATAGCATAGAATTTTTAGAAATAATTGAATTCTGAAAAGATTTCAAATTAAAATTTTAACTAACAATTCTGTGGAATTAATTTTTTTCAAAAGGTTTAATTGAATTCTTTTTTTTTTTGAAATTTTTTGATATTATTTCCTAATATATATTTAATTGAAGAATTTTCGAAGAATTGAAATTTCGTTAAATTGAATTGTAAACAAATGGATTTGAAAATTGTCAAAAAACTTTTTTTTGAAAATTATTAAAAATAATTGATTTAAAGAAGAATTTTAGTTAAAAAATTCTTGATAATAATATTTGAATTGAAGTGATGAAAATAATTTTTAAGGAATACAAAAATATAATATTAAATTAATTTTTTATTATTTTGCTCCGTAAAGTCTGTATTTACTATTTTTAAATACTTTCACTGGTTCGAGCCCTGAAACCCTGAATATACTGAACCGATTTAATAATTGACGAAGACAGAATGAATGTTTGATATTTTATCAGTGCAAAAAATTATTCTAAGCCTAAAATAAATGATTATAGAGAGGCAGCACGTGAATGCAGAAGAAAAAAGAAGGAATATATAAAGTGTCTAGAAAATCGTGTCGCCGTTTTGGAGAATAGAAACCAAACATTGATCGATGAACTTAAATCGTTGAAGGAACTCTATCAGCAGAAAAGTGACTGAGGTTGGTGTTTTATCCTAAAATACTGTATCAGATTCGTTAACTAATAATCGTGTACATGTGCTAATCATGTACATGACAATGAATGTTGTTTTGAAAAGAAAACAACAGTGATGTACATGCATTCTTATACATAAGTGTTAATGTAACATATTGTATTTATGTACGACCATGAAGGCTTGTGAAACTTGCTCTTACTAAAGCGAGAAGCCAAAGTTTATGAACATGTCGCAGACATTTATAAATGCAAACTGGGAGGGCAATTTTTTTTTTTTAGTAAAGACATTTACCAATCGCCACAGAAGATAAAAGAAAAAAATATATATGTATCACCAGTGACATTAGCAAAATGTGTACAGTTCAATTACGTCAAAAAAAAAAGAAATTACTTTGTCACTTGAAAAATTTTTAGAAACTAAGAGGAAAATTTTTTATTTGAATTTAAAGGTACTTTCTGTACAACGAGTCATAGTCATTTTTTTAAAATAATAATAATGGAGTAAGAAATCTTCTCTTGAAAATAATTGACAGTGTTGTCGATATTCATTTATTGTCTTAATTGTGCTAATCGCTTCATTAATATCTGATTCTTTTTATTCAACATTATTATAATAATCACAGTAAAAATGTTTCAGTTCTTTTTTCTTCAATTTAACATAAATATTTATGGTCGCTGAATATTAGTGATATTGTTCTCTAGGGTAAAAATCTTAAGTGTGTATAAATAGGTTACCATATTCTCGTATAGAGCACTAAAAAAATCATTCTCAGTTTCGAATGTTTGAATGAAAGAAATTTTTTCATTTTTTACACGAGTTTCATTTTTTTCCATAGAATTTTTAGTTTTTTGAATAAAATATGTGTTAAAGAGATTTAAATTAAAATTGAAAATTTTTTGAAACAAATTTGAAAACAAGGAAAAAGAATCATTCTTGTTGAAGGGAAAGAAAAGCTCTATTAAATGGTAGCCAGTCATTTGTAAAATATAGCTGTAATATAAATCTGGAGTGCCTTGCAAATTGCATATAAATATATATATATAAAAAAAATATATAATATAACAATGAACTTTATAGTAGTTTATGGTTATGAGAAAATATTTTTAAACTTTATTTATCACAACAACACTTTCAAGTCTCGCGTGTATTATTTGTTCGATTGTTTTTAAAAAAAATGAAGGAGAAATTTTGAACCATTTTTATTAATTTTTAATAAAAAAAATCAAGTGGTAGCATTGAAAACATTCACAATGTTAAACTTAGTTGTTGCACATAAATGTATATGTATCGAAAATTAGAAAATTTAAGATATAATTTTTGTTAATGAAAGGAAAAATGTTGAATATAAATAAGATGTGTTGTCCTACAATATGAGACCTGACAGTCATATTTAATTATCAGAAAAAGTTTATATTATATTTATGAAAAAAAAGTTTTGCGGCCAAATGGAATTAAATAAAATAGAATGTTAATTTTATTATTAAAAAAGGAAATTTTATTCCCAGATAGTGTAAATTTTATACACCAGAAAAAAATTGTACTTTAGAGTAAATTTAAAAAAAACTGGTAGTTGTAGTTACTGTCAGATCTTATAATTCCCAGTGTAGTACTCTACAATGTCTTGCAAAAAATTGTTTCTTTTTTTATTTATTTTGTATTAGTTTAAGAAAAACGACCATTTGATTCTTAAAACAATTCTTTTTTAACTTATAAGAAAGGTACCTGAGAAGCAAACGAATTGTTTCTACTAGATTTATCGTAACTAAAAACATCCTTTTAATTAAATTAAAAACCAGTTTTTATTAAATGTTTAATGACATAATAATTTTTAATCATAATCGATTTCTCCTTCTGTAGTTTTACTCTAAAAATTAAACAAACCATAAAATTCTTTGCTCTTAGGACCTTTTTTTAAAAGCGCATCGAGCGCGTCACTTACATTTGAAATAACATTATTCTGAAACTTAAATTTGAATTGTTTATACAAAATTTGTTGGTTTCGATTTTCAAAGTTAACTTTTAAGTTTCAGTGAGTTTTTTTATTGAAAAAAAAAGAAAAGAAAAGAGATAAGAACACAAAATGTGTGTTAAGAGCATCGATAAATGTTAACTATGTGTAACAAGATAATTTATAAAGAATCGTTGCAAAGAAATGCGAAACATTAAAGATCTTAAATTTATTTTTAACCTATAAGAACAGGTGAAACCTTCTAATGGTGATCATGGTCTTTTTAAAAAGAAAAAGAAAAATCTTAAAATGTAATTATATGTATAGTATGTGTATATCTTGGTTGCTGCACCTGACATTTAATAGAGTATTGTACATAGATAATATATATTATATATAAATCTATATATAAATATATATAAATGTATTTTTACATATCATTGGCCTTCTTGAGAAATATAGCTTATAAATCTATTGACAATTATCTATTTTAATCTGTACCAAAATTATATTTCTTTTTTTTTAATCAAAGATGATGTTTATTTATACACAATTTTTTAACCAATTTTTCAGCTCTTCAATTTGTCCCCGAACTGCTGTTAAACTCGTACCTCCCTCGGTTTTATACTGTTCGACACTATTTTCGAAATTCCAGATATTTTTTACGTCTGTGGTGAAAGCTGACCTGTGAGTGAGATGAACTTTTTATTTTTTTTTACTATTTACTGAAAAGACAATTTTTTTTTATATTAACCCTTTGCTGATGCTAACTTATCACCACTGTATCGCCTTACATTGTTAAAAATCTGACTCCAACTTTACATCAAAAAGATTGAAATAATGTTATTTCAATCTGCATTTCATCTAGTCAAACGAAAGTATTCACACTTTTTGGGATTAAAAGTATATAATTTTCAATCTTTCGGTGTAAAGTTGGAGTTCGATTTTTAACATAGAACGTTACTCATGAAGTCTCCATCAGATGTCAAAAATTGACGATTGACGATAAAAGTTAGTAACGGCAAAAGGGATAATATGCGAAACTTACGAAAATATTTGCAGTTGCTGTAAAGGTAGATTTTGAATTGCGATTATATTTTTTTCGGCGTATGTTACAATTTTGCCAACGATATTGTGTGCGTCTCGGAAGGGAATCTAAAAATTGTTTTTAATATCTTATTCTCAGATTAAACTTTTAGTGACGCTGTTATTTTTTTGTCATATCGTTGACACACTGGGTCAATTGGACCTACAACTTTAACACCATGACATTTAATAAATCCTTTTTGATGATTATTAATTTTATAGCAAAAGACTCGTGTCATTTATCTCTATGAATTTTTCTCCAATTGTGCGCCTGCTCATTAAATAATTAACTTGACATTTTCAGTTCTGTAAATTAAACAGAAGTTCTTCATACTAGATCATGAATAATATTGAAAAGTGTTTAAAAGCACACACTTCTTAAACCATCCGTAAACCTCGTTTATTGTAGGCGAAGTGATTGGAATTCGAAGTTTGAAGGTATTAATTAAAATCGAAATATTTATTAAAAATTAATTAATTAATAAAGTTTTAATCAGGGTTAAAATGATCCAGTGTGTCAAGAAGAGGTTAAAATTAAATTATTGAAATTAATTATAATGAAATTGGTACCCCTTTTTTCACGAGGTAATAAGCTATGTCTGTTGCCAACATATTGTAATTCAATGAATCTCCACATTTATTTTTATTGACTTTCAAAGTTCTTAAAGCCTCATTTGCAGTTCTCAACATTTCCAAAAAAATATCAAATGTCGAGAAAAGCGCTTCTTTGTCTTCTTGTAAATCTTTATTGTACGTTGAAGGAGTTCCTTTTAATGTTACCATGAAGCCGAAGCACTAAGACAAATAGTAAAATTATATTTTATTATTATTGTTTTTATTAGGTATTGTTATTATTATTAATACTTTTCCAAGAATCGTGCCCGATTTTCCCCGTAGAAGTTCCATACTATCAGGATTGCGTTTTTGTGGCATTAAACTGCTGCCAGTTGAAAATGAATCTGATAGTTTAATAAATCCAAATTCTTCACTGCTGTAAATAATCACATCCTCGGCTATTTTGCTCAAGTGAATTGAAGTTAAAGAAGCCCAGAATAGAAATTCAGCTTGAAAGATTTGTAATTTAGAATCAAATTTTAGATAATTTATACCTTTTAGTTAATATAATAGTTTTGTCATAATTTGCAAATATTTTGTTTAATACTTTCGTTATTAAATATTTAATACTTTTGTATTATTACCCACGTAATCGCGATCGCCAACAGAATGCATACTATTTGAAGATGCAGAATCAAATTCAAGTTTTAAAGCCAATTTTTCCCTATCAATTCCAAGGAGATTGCCTGCTAAAGCACCGCTTCCCAAAGGACAAACGTTTAAATTTTGTTTCATTTGTAGAAGCTTATCGTAATCATTTTTTAAACTCCAAGTGTGACTAGAATCATTTAATTTTAGTTTACTTTTTTGAAAATTACCTTTGTATTATAATTTATATTTTTTTTAAATTTTATCATTATTTGCAGTATGTTGAATATTTTATAAATTGTTTTCAAACCTCAATAGCCAATGACTCCAACGAACTGGTTGGGCTCTTTGTAAATGTGTGTAACCTGGCATTAGAATTTCTATTTCTTTTTCAGATCTCGTTACTAGCATCTTTTTTTGGATTATATGAAAGTATTTAAAGTTTAGTAAATTATTGAAAATAAATTATTAAAAATTAAAGTTCTTTATTACTAATTACGTTATTTTATATTGTGTTTGTATATTTGGAAATTATCACCTGAATGATTTCGGTTATGATGATTAAAATTGAATTAATTGATTTTCTAAGCCACATTTTTGTGTTGGTAGTAGTTTGATCATTTCTACTTCTTCCCACGTGCATTTTTCGTGCTACTGTGCCGATTATTTCCTTTGAATAATTAAATTAATTTATATTCATTAATATGTCATTATTAGTCATTAATAGTCACAATATTATTATTAATTTATAAGAGAATAAAAAAGTAATAGAAATTTTACTGTCAGCCTTCGTTCATTGGCCGTGTGAATATCTTCATCCTCCGATTTTATTTCAAACTCATCATTGTCCCACTCAAATTGAACCTAAATATTTTAATAATTTTTAATTTTTATATATTTTTAATTTTTTACATTTCTTGACTTCCAAACAAGGTAAATTAGAAACTTAACCTTTTTCAGACCTTCAATTATGGATTTATATTCGTCTGTTGTTAATAGTTTAGCATCGAGGAGCGATTCGGAATATGCGATGCTGCCCTAAAATTAAAAAGAAATTGAAAGACGAAATGTATATGAATGAAAGTGAGAAAACTAAGAGTGTCTCTTCATTTGAGGAAAATTTCACAGGATCTTCTTTCAATTTACAATTGTAAGTAATAAAATTTTTTTTTTTAATTTTTGCATGTAATTATTAATTAGCTCTATGTTATGAAACAAAATTGAAACACTGAGCGATCAATTTGATCCAAACCCAAATATTTTGCATTGAATTTTAAATATTTTGATTCGTTTTTTGTCTCAATTTGATACCCTTAGAAAAACTGTGAAACAAGAAATTTAAAAATTTGCATTAATTGAATTCTTAATCCGGGTCAAAATGACCCAGAGTGGAAACGAACCTCAATGTCCTCCCTATACATTCGTTTATCGATGTCAATTGAAAAATTTAATTTCTTTAATGATGAACTCATATTTTCAGTAAATCTTCCGCCCCATAATTTTTCACCAAATTGCTCCTCTTTGTTTGTCATTTTTTTGACACTTGATTTTTAGTTGCGTAATTCAATCAATTCGCGATAAAAATTTCACAATTTATTTATTTAAAAAATTAAAATATAAAAAGGTAGTAATAAAATTGGTAAATAATATTATTTCTAAAAAAAAACTGTTTGGAAAACAAAATAATGTAACTAAAATATTGTATATTGTCAAATTTCGCAATTCTTGACTTCAAAGATCACTTTGCATTATCAACTTTAATGATAACATCATAAAGGAGAGTCCATAAACCACGCAGTCAATTGAGGAAATTTTTAATATGTGATTATTTAAAAAATTGAAATTAACGAGTTTTTTGAAGATATATTTTTAACAAGGTATAAAAGAGAAGAATGAATTTAGTCGAATTATTTAGTAAAAAAAAAAGATTGATGAAAAAAATATAATTGTAGAAAATTAGTTTTAGGAATAGTGGAAGTAATAAATTAGGTATTTCTCGAAAGAAAATAGGATTTATTATAAAAAGGCAAGAAACGCAATATTAAGACACTTTTAATGTTTCTTAGTAAATCGCTTTGTAGAAAAAAACAATTATCTTTCTAAATTAGTCATTAAAGTCGTATCAAATCTCGTATAGTATTCATATTACATTAGCGAGGAATTTTATATATTTCAGAAGCTTATTTTCCATAATCTCAAAATCCTCCGATTTTTATTAGCACTTCTTTGTCTGTAATGTCGCATTCGCTAAAAAATATAATTTCATTGTCATTAAAAATTCAATTTCATTTTGAATTTTTTTTTTTAAATGTTTATCTCTAAATTATCAAAATAATCAAAAATGTCGTGTTTACCTTTTCCATGCTTATCAGTCGACGATTTCTTAACTTTACTGCCACAAATTATATCATTTATATAACGAGGTCCCTTCGATTCCTTTGTTTTTACCGGTTTCGTCAACTTTTCATTCTTCATATTATAAATTGCTGTTTTATAAATAACTTCCACTGGCTTTTTTGTTCTGTAAATGAAAAAATAACTGAAAATTTAATTAAAGTTTAATATTTTTGAATTGGAGAGATTTTTGTTTATCAAAAAATTTATGTTTACTTTGAAGTTTCGGCTTTTGAATTTTTTTCGACTCCCAAATCCGATTGTTTTGAATTATGTGACTTAGATGTAGTTCTTTTCAAATCTTTTCTCACTAAAGAACTCTTGGGACTTTTTGAATTTTCCTCTTGACTTTTGTCCTTGATTTTTTGATCCTTGAGCCTGTTGTTTGATTCTGTTTCTATAATTTTAGTTCTACTTTTTACATTCGTGGAATTTTGCTTCTTTTCTTTTTTGTTGTCGACAGATTCTTTCTGAAAGTGGAAAAAGAAATCGGGAGGTTAAAAAAAGAATTAAATCATAACAGTTACAGAAATCGGAGAAACTCACCTTGCTTCTGATTAAAGAATTTTTATTCGATTCTGATCCACTGCTTCTAATGTCCGTGCTTCTTTTTAAATTAATAGACTTGGGTTTAGATTGTGTTGGTATTTTTTTACATACTTCCTGCTGATTCATTTTGAGAGATTGCACTTTTTCTTGATTTTCATTATCCTTTATTTTTTTGGAAGCAACTTCCGTCTCGAAATTGTTTTGAATAGTTTGAAAATTCTCATAAATTGGCACATCATCATTTCTATCGGGCTCAAATACGTTGGCATAAATGGGACTAGGATCACAGATTTCTACTTTCTTCACTCCAGAACTAACATCACAAGCATCTTTGGATTCTGAAATAGGCACAGCGCAAGAATCTTTTGTAGTTTCATTGGTTTTCATCAAGTTTGATGAAATTTTGCCAACATCGTTTAATTTCATCGAACGTGATGAGGAATTTTCTGTGTCACTCAATTTTATCGGACATAATGTGACTTTTTCGTTGTTTTTCACGGGGGTTGATATTTTTTCACTCTCATTTGATTTTAACAAACGGGATGAATTTTTTTCAGATTCGTTATTTAATTTTGTCAAACGAAATGATATTCTTTCCGGTTCGTTTGATTTTGTCGAACGAAATGAAAGTTTCTCAGACTTATTATTAGGCAACAATTTTTCGTCCTCGGTCGACTTTTCCGTTGGATATAAAGAGGCGAGTGTGATTGGTTTTTTTGATTTTATCAATTTTTGAGAATTATCAAAATCTATTTTTCCAATTATTGGTCTTTGAGATGTTGTTGTGACTTTTGCTGAGGATTTATCTTCTAATGGAAGTGATTCATTGTCCATGGGTGGAGAATTATGAGTTTCTTTTCGAGTTCGTAAATCCAGGGCGGATATTATTTTCGGTGCTTCTAAAGAAACTTCCTCGACGTTGCTTAATTTTGAAGTATCGTCTGTAAATAATTTTAAACAGAGTTAATGAATTACAATTATTTGTATTAAGTAAAATTTTATACAAAGTACAAGAAAGGAAATTTTCCAGATTCTTTAATGATCCCAAAGGAGTTACATTAGTTTTGTCTCTCTGTCAATTTTATTTCTATCTTTAGAAGTTATGAAGTTCTTTTCGAGAATTTCAAGAACTATACAAAAGTTCAAAGTTAGAAAAAACTTGACTAGGAGGCGAAATTGATGCAAAATCTACGGAGCCCTTTCACGATTGTAAATATTCAAATTAAATTTTTGTCTGAATAATAATTAAATTTTAAAATTGTTTTCAGGATTGGAACGAATCGTGCAGATGAAAGTAAAAGAAGAGGGTCACCTAAGACAGGAATTTTAATATAATCGATCACGTATTTTGGAAAAAAAAGTATCGTCAATTAAAGAATATACAACAGTCTGTCCCTTAAGAAGGAAATCAAGGATGTCATCAATTGTGGTATGTTTTTTACAATCAATTTCTCGGTTATCTAGGGTTTCGTACACAATTGAGCCTCCGGAAAGTATAACCACACATGAAATTCTGACCGCCATGCTAATTCAATGGGCGTCAGAATTTTATGTGTGGTTATACTTTCCGGAGGCTCAATTGAACCCCTTGATGCTAGAACCAGAAGCAACCCATTAAAGTTCTGGTTCTTGGAACAAGGCGTTAAATTTTAACTGAAATATTTAAATTTTCCTACCCCAGAATTAGAAAAAGTCTATCAGAATCATTAGTAGGTCCTTTGGACTATTCATTACAATTAAAAAAATATAATTACCTTGAATGATATTTTTCAAGTTGCAAAATCGATTGGACCCAAAATTAATAGTAGTTGTGTGAACCTTATATCTTGGGTCTAAATTTTTCTCGTGAATATTTAAAGGACTTGGCTCATTGACCAATTCTTCTTTCGTCTCGTTATGATTCTCTTTTGTCAATGGCGATGATGTAAAAGATTGCCACGTATCTTTATAATTTTCCTCCTCTCTCAGCTTTATCGAATTTGTTAATTCATCGGCACCGGGCTTTTTATTCTCTCCAAAAATATACGATGGCGGTGCATCACCAAAATGTACAACCGGTAAATTTTTATTTGTGGAAGTTCCGAGACTATTGTTACTACTGCTACTATTACGACGTCTTCTTCGAAATCGATTCGTAGGTGGTGGTTTGCCATCAGTTTCGACAATATTCACTTTTCCTGAATCGGCCACAAAATGCACTTCAGTCTTACAGAAACCGACTTTCTTTGTTGGTTTCGTTGAGCAATCGGATATAAATAAAACATTATTCTCCTGTGAATTTGAGTCTTTTGTGATTTCACTTTTTGGAGGTGGATTCTTTAAATCAATTGTGACTTTAATGTGACCGGTTGATTCGTCTTCTGGTTTACCCAAGTGCACTATCGTTTTATTTGTATTGACTGGTCGAGTTGTGTCTTGAGCACAAAGTCGAATCGACGTTGGTTTTTGTAATTCGACAATGGATTCACGATTCTTTTCTAGATCTTTAAAAAAATATGTTCGTGCTTTCGGTGCAGGGCAAATATTTGTTTTTGTTGAAGTATCCGGTGAACGGGATGTCGCACTGAAATGAGAATTTCTCGGCGATGATTCAGATGATGAGTAAGAATTTTTGGTTACTTTATCATCATCGTGTTTTTTCCGCAGTCGTGCTTGTGGATTCTTCAATTCGGAGAGTTTTGAAATGTATAAATCGTTTTCGGAATTATTCAAGTCGGCAAGTTTTACGTTAGAATTATTAGTGTCTTTGCCAGTTTTTTTGTTTGTTAACTGTAGGGAACGTCTGACTCGATAATCTCGTGTGAAATTCGATGGCGAGAGGGATTCTTTCTCATCGGTTAAACTAGCTAGATCTTCATTTGAATTGCTCTTCTTTTCATTGAACAAGGATTTATTTCTGTCAATAACTTCGAATGCTTTGCTTAATTTCTCATCAGTCAGAAAGGCAGAATTATGCCCAAAAAATAAGGAATGACTATCATTGATTACTTTTGAATGTAATTTTCGACATAGGGAGGATAATGAATCCAGGTCCTTGTAGTCGTTCAGTCTTGACTTTATGCCACTCTCGAGTTGATTCATGTGCTGCTCAATCTGTAATTAAAAATTTTATTTCTTTACCTAGTTTGATTTTTGTTAATTTGTTTTTTTTTTATTGAAAGTTGATGGGTTCACTTACGGGAGATTTAGCTAGAGAGCTACTGTGAATTAAATCGGAGACTCTGGAGGAAGACCATTGAGAGGCTCGAACTACTTGAATAGATTTTCCTCCCGCTCCTTGACTCTGAAAAACTTCTACTTTTCGTTGAGCTCGCTGGACTAGATTTCCGTCCGCTGAATTTCGTTCACGAGAATCGACCACCTAGGGAAGAAAAAATTTCTATTATAGCTGAATGCGGAAAAATTTTTTCCTTGAAGAAAATTTTCCTACTTTGCCATATGATTGAGCAGCTCCTTGATTTTTGGTTTGCCATCTGCTATTCTCAATGCGGGCATTTTCCAACATTCCTGTGAGTTGGTCCACATGCGACCATTCATGAACGTCTTCATTGTGAAATGGTGATCCATCATTGTCTCCTATAAATCCAGGAGACAATACTAATTCCATTTTTTCTTAACGTGGAAAAAATCACTTTTTCATTGAAAACAAGTCTCTGCTCTCACGATTCATAGTAAGCGCTCTGCAAACAAAGTCATAATTTACGATTGAATTTAAAGAGTTCTGCCTTCAAAAGAGATGAGAATTAACAAGTTTTGAGAAAAATAATTATGTAAATGTTTGACAATTTTTTTTCCCCCAACAAATTGTAAATATTAACATTGTAAATCGGTGAAGGTCGATTGGTAAAAATGATTTTAAATAATTCTCGTTTAAAAAAGAGTTGTTGACATTGAAAATTTATTTTCCAAGCATAAATTTCGTTTCTAATCAAATAGAAGATGATAATTAATGATTGAATATTAACAGGAACGGAAAAAATAGTTAAATTATAAAGGAATATATATCTTTATATTTAATCTTTATGTTTATATATTTAAATCTTTATATTTAAATTTCTTTCTCGATTTTAACTTATTTCGATTATATTGCAAAATAAATTTATATCCAAGTTAAAATTAAATTTAGAAACAAAGTTGGTTGGAAATCGGATATTGGGTAATAAATAATATCTTTATTGACTTTATCAAACACTTGTTTGAACTTTGTAGTTTTAATGAATACTTTTTTCGATGAGAATTACAAATCAGAAATGAAAAAAAAAATTGAAATTCAACTTTCTGCAAAGTACGACTAGGCGATATTTTGAAAAAAAAAAAGATAGACGAACAAGTTTTGTATAACTTGTTTCTTATCGCGTTGTGTCTGTGATAGAAGTGTGGCTTTTCTGAAAAATTAGAATTATGTCGAAATCAGAGTAGGTATAAATTTGATGACGAAATCATGAAAACCTTTAAGGTGCGTAAATTTGAGGCGAGAGAATAGTTTTGTTTGGCCTCGATTTCATACAACAGGACCTTTCATCTTTTCATCAATCATTGAACAACGGTGTCACAATGTCTCATTGTGTTGTCAATCGATTGGCCTCCTTGTCTTTAAATCAATTTTGTATTCAAACAGTCTTTTTGATATAAAGTTCGATTAAATGGCAGTCGAATTTTCTTTCATTGCTGAGAATAAAAATTATTAATTTGGCTAAATAAAACTTTCTGTCTGAATAAAATTTTTAAATTTTAGCTTAATTTTTAGTTCAGAAAAAATTTCGATGAATTAATAGTTCAATTAGCTCAATAACAATACGTGAATTTTTGATTGTTATTGAATGAATAAGAAAAATCTTCTGGTAGGAAAATTTCGATTTAATTTAATAAAATATAAATTCGATTTTCAAGAGTAGGTATCAAAGAAAGTACAAGTGGTTAAGAACCCACGCATATCTATGTGTTCTACTGCACAACATTATTATTGGAACACATTATAAGAAAAAGAGTTTATAATACACGTAAACTTATTATGCAAGAGTAATAGTTATAAATTAGGTTCATTGTAGTCTCATTGTTTCAGGCAATTTAGAATTTTATCGCAATTTAGAATATAGGGACTGGAATCGGATTTTAAAAGGAACGCACGAGATGCACACACATTTGTGTATATAATCATCTTGAAAGAAGTGGAGAGACGGCATTTAGGTAAATATACTAGGAATTCTGAGAAAATCGCGGAATAGGGTATAATAAGTGTAAATTCTCCTTGAGAGGATTCACAGGCGGAAGGAAGGTGAGACGTTGAGACCACCATATACCTCTAGGATTTCTGTGAGTGGGCGGACCATCGATGTAACGTGGTTTGTCGAGTGCGTTGGCTGACTTCAAGGACATTTTAACCCACTGGTTGAACCAAGTTTCTTACATGACACACCATTAACAAGAAATTTATACAATTCCCTTTGCGAGACACAGTCTTTCAGAAAAAAATCATTTTCTCACATTTCCTCAATTTTCAATTTTCCTTTTCTTTTAAATTTTGAAACGAAAATAAAATATTTGAAAAAATTTTGTTTCTTCACGGTTGCCACAAGTCAGCGAAGTCAGGGAAAAGTCAGGAATTTTCACTAAAAGTACTGGAAAAAATTAAATGCTTAGAATAAGAAAAATTAAATTAAAAATCCTAAAAGAGGAAAAATTTCTAAAAATTATTAGCAATAGAAGAAATAACTAAATAAGATAAATGCCAGAACGTGTTAATGATGATTGAAAAAAAAGTTGGAGAGAGTTTTATGGTCAGTATGCACGAGTACTGTTTTCTGTGATTGCAGAAAATGCAGGATATTGTGAATTCTGGCCTTGCGGCCGATTTTACAGCGTGGGCGAAACTCATAGGATATACCTTGGCATGAAATGTACAGTCTTTAGTTGTGGACGTATAAATAAAAACAAAAAATATAAAAGAACTTCGTTTCAAACGAATGATTCTCCTTCCACCAACAGGTGGATAATCTCTTCTGAAAGTTATTTTTTTTTCCATGGGAGTCTGGAAATGCAAATAGATCTTGACCCATATTTGTAATTTTTCTGGAGGCGGCATTCAATTCACTATTGGCCTCCAATGACTTTCATCTCGACCTTTGAAAAAGTAAATATATTTCTCCAAATTGCATTTTTCGCGATTAAAAATTTTTAAATAACAACGGAATAGAATACAAAATTTTCAAAATTTAATTATCAGTTTTTTTTCTTTTTAAAAATTACAAATTTAAAAATACAAAAATACAAATTAAAAAAAAATTGTATTTGAATGAAAAGTATCTTCTCTAGAAAAAAATTTACTTTTACACATTGAATAATTTTAGAAAGTTTAAAAAAAACAATTACGCTGAGAATGCTTTATTAAGAATAGTTATAATTAATTATTAAATATATGTTTACGCAACTGTAAAGTTATTATAAAGAGACTTTCTATTATCATAGAAAAAAAATTGATTAGAAATTTTCAGGTTTGACTCGTTTCATATTTTTTTTGTACTTGAATCAAAATGATTTTTAATTACATTTCAAAAGATAGAGAAAACAAAAAAAAAAGAAACTTTTAAATTTAGAAAAAAAAACTTTACTTTCTGCACCCAGAGAAAAGTTTTATTTAAAACAAATTTTTATTTGAATTAAATAAAAGTATATTTGTCTCAGAGCCGACTAGATTATTTAATTGTTTTAAATAAAAATTTCATTCGACATAAATAAAACTTTAATTTAAACTAAAGGCAGACTTCGCACTTAATAATTAATTTTAAAAAAGTAGATATTAGTAGTTTAAAAATTTTCATTTTATTTGAACCAAATAAAATTTTATTTAAGCCAAAAAAAAATGTATTTGAAACAAATAAAAATTCTAGTTGGTTCTGAGTCAAATATTTTTTTTCTAAATGTGTTTAATTTTATTCGAAAATTTTTCGAACGTTAAAAATTGCAATTTTTGAATTATTTTCGTAATTTCAAATATATTCAAAATGCGACAATTAATTTAATTCTTTTTTTATGTATATATATATACACACAATCAACACCTACTAGTGGCATAGTTGTTGCTTATTTAGTCATTGCAGACAGATACAAGATGAGTCAGCTGAGAAAAAGTGTTTGAACGCAAAAGAGAGATGAGTAATAAATACTTTGTTGTTATTAATCGATGATGATCGTAAAGTTTTTCAAAAAAATTCCTAATTTATAATATTACACGCAATAAATATTAAAATCTTGCGCGCTCATTGAATTATTATAATATTTTTGCGCAACGCATGAAACTTATTTCTGAAAAGGAAGTAAACGATCTAAATGAAAAATCTAATTGAGTGCAATAAAAGTAAAGATAAAGTTATTGCCAAATGGCAAGGCTACCGAGTTCATTATACTCGATTCTTAATTGGTATTTCGAATGATTCAGAAATTGAGTAATTAATGCTTTAAGCTATCGTATCGTAGGAGAATGGCCGTTACTAATCTATTTTTCACGTCACTATATAATATACAATATATAACGAATCGAACTTTTATGCAGATCTGAAAGCCGAATGAATTGTTCAACAGTATTCGGTTTATTCATTCTTTTTTTTTTTATTATATCCATTTCGAAATTCAAATTTCAATAAGACACAATTATCGTTCCAGAAGAATAGATTCGAATTAGTGTGATATTTAAATTTTTTTTTGAGGTGAAAAAAAATTGTCTCGCCTACGCTGATCTTCTTTGTCATCTGTATTTTTTTCTCCTTCATTTTTTTTTTGTTATTGGCCTTGGATTAGAGAAAATAAACAAGAAGAAGAAATTTTCCAACTGAGTTGCCACAAAAATTTAATTTTCTTTTTCCCTGACTTTTTTCTGACTGATTTTGACTTTTTCCCTGACCCAAGAAAAATATTCTGATTTACTCTAAAAATTATTGGATACTCAAAAAAATGTTCTATTACATTTATTTACAAATTTCTTCAAAAGTAAAATTATTCAAAAACATCAATAACTTCTTTTTTAAATAAATATTTAATCATTATTATTTTTCTACAGGAATTAAGATTTTCAAATACAAACCTTCTAAAATTCAATAACTTATGAAAATATTATTAAATATTATATATTAAATTTATATATATTATATATATTATATATTATATTTAATTATATAATATAATATAATTAATATAATTATTAAATAAATAAATAAATAAATAAATAAATAATAATAAATAAATTTAAATATTATAATATAATTATATAATTATTATTATATATTATATTTATATATATTATTATTTATATATATTATATATTAAATATTAAATATTAAATATTATATTATTAATATTATTAAATATTATTATAAAACAGAGTGATAAAATCATTATTTCATATCATAAGAATATTGTAACTATAAATTCAAATTTTCAAAGATTTTAATTTTCAACCCTTTTCAAAATTCAATTATTTCTAAAAATTCACGCTATAATGCTCTTGATATTCAAATTATAATTTTTAATTTTAAGTAAAATTCACTATTTAATCAATTTTTATTAGAAATTTTTCAAAAATTCAATTATTTAAATACAAAAATAAATAATTTATTAAATAATTGAATACTTCTTGAAATTGAATTTTTATGAAGAATTTTATCAAAATTTTTAAAAAAATAATTGA